CAGCGGCCGGTGCCGCTGTCTGGGCGCACCGCTGGCCGGAGACGTCGCCCTCCCGTCATCGCGGCCGCTCCACACTTACCCTCCCGATGCCACCGCCGCTTGACCTCACCTGCCGCCCGTCATCGCTGACATGTGGGATAGAGAAAGAAGAGATCAATTAGAGAGAGAAGTGAAGGAGGGGATAGAGAGAAGAGAGATAGGAGAGCTGACATGTGGGCCCAAGGGCGTTTCTGACATTCCACACGATTTTTCTCTCATCTTCAATCGGAATGCGGTGTCCACCAGCAAATATCCAACTTTTAAGAGTGTTTTCCCCCAAAAGTCACTTCGTGCAATGTGCTACAGTAAAACTGCGAAGTCATGGTGTCCTGTAGCAAAATTTGTGATGGGACCGGCCTTAAAAAAATTACGTCCCTGAAGCCACGCCTACGCGTGCGCGTGCACTGTGGAGTGAGGAGCTTGACTTCTTTTTTTGAGTTTCTCTCCTATGTGGACAAACTTGCTCCTCGCTTTTGTGCGACGCACTGCTACTGCCCTAAAATAGCCATGATGTCCATAGGAGTACTTGATTCCGGTATATGTATCTACATGGAGTAGCCTGTTCTTTTTTCCCCAAAAGCTGCTAAATTACAATTTATGTGGGCGTTCAACTCAAAATTGTGAAACGAAAATTTCTAACCCACAATTTTTTCTTCATAATAATAGCTTCTTTCATTATTATTGCGTGAAAATTAGTAAATTATACATGCTCCAACTTTCTTATGAACAAATACACTCCACACGTAGAAGTAGCTACGAATATATTGTACTCCATCATTCTCAAAATATAAAAACTACTCTATCCGTTTCAAAATGTTTGACACCGTTAACTTTTTAGTACGTGTTTGACCATTCGTCTTATTCAAAAAATTTAAGTAATTATTTATTCTTTTCATATCATTTGATTCATTGTTAAATATACTTTCATGTACACATATAGTTTTACATATTTTATATTTTTTTTAATCAGACGAACGGTCAAACATGTGCTAAAAAGTTAACAGTGTCAAACATTTTAAAACGGAGGGAGTATATGTTTTAGTTTTTATATTTTTTTTTGCGGGGGAAGGAGAATAAATTAATCACAGTCCTCGCCAACAAAATGCGAGATAAAGGTACAATTTTCTCCTAGCCAAAAACTAGAGAGGGACTCAGCTCTAGCTTTATTTGCTAAAAAGTGACTAATAACATTCTGACTACGCTGAACTTTGCTTATGGCAATTTGCCGATCCCCAGCCATTAGTGATTTAGCCTCCTGAGCTATATTAGCCAGAACTGAGCGATCTTTGTCTGGGTGATTTAAGAGCTGGATCACAGAACTGCAATCAGTTTCCACTTGGATTGGAAGAAGAGTCCAGTGGAGCGCTAAGTGAAGACCTTCCACACACGCGTGCAGTTCGGCTTCCAAGGGGCCACTGCAACTATCAAGAGATCTGCAGGAACTAAAGATCACATTACCCAGGCAATTTCTGAGAATCATTCCAATACCTCCCTTCTCAGAATTAATGTCAAAGGAGCCATCCACATTTAGCTTCATCCACCCATTCCTCGGCCTTTCCCAACGACGGTTTTCCGCTCCAGGGGTATGTTTGATTGCTGTAGTTTTCGGGAAATTAACACTCACCACATATTTACCTTTCTCCAAGTTCACCTAGGGATTTTGTCGGATCATGAACAGAGAGTCCACATAACTCTCTATAAATCTTTTCGAAACCTCCATTGGTGGGGCTGGTTTATTGTGCATAACTTCGTTCCTCACAAACCAGTTCCGCCAAATGATCATGAGAACTAGAGCTCTCTCATACTCTGAAAGCTTTTCTAGACAATCAAAGAGCCAAAAATTACCGAACTGGATTGATTTGACGTCCAAGGAGATACTCCCTGATTTGTGCATACTCACCCAGAGTGAATTTGCATGGACACAACGGCACAGTGCATGTCCTGCATCTTCTTTTTCTCTGTCACAAATGCCACAAACATCAAATCTTTCCAAGTTCCTCTTCTTCTTGTTCTCCATGGTTGCTAGGCTGTTAGAAGCCACCCTCCAAGCAAAAATCCTGACCTTTTGTGGGACATTACATTTCCAGATTAGTTCCCAAGATTTATTAAGTCTGCTCGAGGACGAGCTTGAGCAATTATTCATGTCGGCGAGCTGCAAGGCCAACTTGTAAGCACTTCGAACAGAAAATCTGCCAGTTTTGTCCGGATGCCATGCTATAAAATCCTCCTCCAAGCGAGCAGAAATACAGATCTTCTGAATGATGTCTGCATCTATTTTTAGAAAATACTGATTGATCTTGGCTGAATCCCAAGTTCCATCTTCTGCAATTAGATCTGACACCCATTTCAGTCTACAGTTTGCTTTACTTGATACCGGTCTTCGTGACAAATCTCTCGGGATCCAGGGATCGCGCCATATTCTGACTGAATTACCATTCCCAATTCTCCAGATGATTCCCTTTTTCAATAAATCCAAACCATATTCAATGCCATGCCAAGTAGGAGAAGCATTTGCACTAAAAGTTGTATCAGTCAGAGAACCATGCGGAAAGTATTTAGCCTTGAGCACTTGGGCACATAGGCTGTTTGGGAATTCGATCAATCGCCAAGCTTGACGAGTTAACAGGGCCTGGTTAAACAATTTGTAATCTCTGAACCCTAAACCCCCATTGATTTTTGCTTTCGTCAGGGAATCCCAGGCCCTCCAATGTGTTCTCCTCCGGCCATTATCTGCACCCCACCAAAAATTCCTTGTCATCTTAGTCAGTTCATCATAGACTGAATCTGGGAACTTAAAAAGCCCCATCACATAGACTGGTATGGCCTGGATAACAGCCTTGATCAAGATTTCTTTTCCCCCACTAGAAAGGAAATTTTCACCCCATTGAATTACCCTTTTCGCGATTTTTGCTTGCAAACTCTGAAACCTCCCTTTATGCATTCTTCCCTCAGGTGTAGGGAAGCCTAGGTATCTGTCCTCAAAGTTATCCCTCTCCACCTGCAGAGTGTTTCTTATATCCTCACTTACTGATGAGGGAGAAGCTTCACCGAAGAGGATCGAACACTTGGCAGGGTTAATAAGCTGTCCAGTTCCTTGAGCATAATTGGTCAGAACCTCCTTCACCACTTCTGCCTCCTTCTTTTCAGCTTTAAAGAAGAGCAGTGTGTCGTCAGCAAACAATAAGTATGAAATTCCCGGGGCTTGGCGACAAATCTTGAGCGGAGTTAGGGAATTTTGTGCCACTTTTTCCTTGAGCAAGAGGGACAAGCCATCGGCCACAAATAAAAATAGGAATGGCGACAGAGGTTCTCCTTGCCTGAGACCTCTAGTTGGAGCGAAAGAGCGAAGTAAGGTTCCATTGAATTTAACCGAGTATCTCACCGTGGTTACACACAACATAATCCAACTAACCCAACGGTGAGCGAAACCCAACTTGTTCAAAGCCAACTCCAAAAATCGCCAGTCTACTCTATCATAGGCCTTTGAGAGATCCAACTTATACGCACAAGCAGCACTGTTAGCTTTCTTGTTCTTTTGAATCGAGTGGAAACATTCAAACGCTAATAGGGCATTGTCAGTTATCATTCGACCCTGTATGAATGCGCTTTGCTCTTTAGAAACCAGATCATCAAGAATTGGTCTCAACCTGTTAACTAGACACTTAGAAACCACTTTATACACCACGTTACAAAGACTTATCGGCCGATAATCCTTCAAATCAATAGGTTGGTCTTTTTTTGGGATAAGAACTATAGCTGTATCATTCACTCCTTTAGGCATTAACCCAGATTGGAAAAAATTCCTGACTGCCAGGATTATGTCACTCTTTAAGGTGCCCCAATTTCTCTGATAAAATCTGGCTGGAAAGCCATCCGGCCTAGGGGATTTAAGGGGTCCAATTTGAAATATTGCTTGAGCAATTTCTTCCTCCTTGAATTCCTGACAGAGCTTCTCATTCATAGCATCTGTGACTTTCTCCTGGAACAACCGGGTGACACTTTCTGGGTTAAGACTCGGATCAGCCTTATAAACTCCCTGAAAATACTCAGTAGCCATAGTTTCCAGCACCGATGTCGTACTATGAATAGCACCGTTCTCATCTCTCAACTTAGAGATCTTATTTTTCTTAGCTCTCCAAACTGCGCGGCTATGAAAGAAACGAGTGTTTCGGTCTCCTTCCTTTAGCCAATTTACCCGAGAGCGTTGAAGCCATAACATTTCCTCTCTATACAGCATTTCATTCATATGGTCAGTTGCTTGGCGGATAGAAGATCTAGCAGCATTTGACGCTATAAGATCCTCCAACTTTTTCCTTGCCTTTTCCAATTCCTTTCCAACATTTTTCACCTTTGTTTTACTCCAGGATCTCAAAGCAGACATAACTCTACCGAGGGCAATATTAATATCGCCGAGGTCAGTTTTAACACCAGCATTAATCCATGCTTCCTCAATAACCTGCACAGACTCTGGTTCCCTTTCCCACACAATTTCATAATGAAGACACTTCTGACGGGGTCGAGTGGTATCCTTCACTATGAACTCTAGCAAGATAGGACTGTGATCTGAACAGGGGGACACAAGATGTGAGACTTGTGCTTCTGGAAAAAGGTCTCTCCATTTATCATCAGCCACTGCTCTATCCAACCTGACCTTCACATTTCTCCATCCATCTCTTCTATTGTCATATGTATGCGGAACCCCTTTGAAGCCTAAATCCTGTAAATCACAGTCATATAAGGCATCACGAAAATTCTGCATCTGAGTTTCACAACGTGGGTTTTTTGAGAAGTGCTCGAACTGCCAAAGGGTTTCATTAAAATCTCCAATAACCATCCAAGGCAGAGCGGATGACTGTCGAATTGTCCTGAGTAGTGACCACATACGATGTCTATTCTCAACCCGAGGTTCGCCATACACAAAGGTGATATGCCATTGAGGCTCATCAGGGGATAATCGCACATACGCATCAATATATCTTTTATTAATATCTTTGACATCGACTGAAACAGACTCATCCCAATACAAAGCAAGACCACCACTCTTACCTTCACTACTGACACCAACAAAACCTCTAAAGGCCAACTTCCTTCTAAGACGACTCATCTTTTCCACACTTTGTCTAGTTTCACATAAAAAGACTAACTGGGAACCTGCCTTTTGGATTAAGGCACGCAAATCTTGAACTGTCGCCGTGTTCCCCAGACCGCGACAGTTCCAGGCTAGACAACTCATTGCTCCTGGCGAGACCCATTCTTAGGTCCCGCCAGTTTACCAGCAGCCCCGGGGCTGGTTGCTTCCATATCTTTACCATTAGCATTCATATCCGCTCCCTTTTTAAGGCGCTTCAACGCTCTTGGTGTCACCCCTGACACGGCTCCTGTATTGGTCTGATCATACTCTAGGATAGCTTGTTTTACAGTCCCCAAGCCCTTAGCAACAGGAGCCGTCAAAGCCTTCCTCTTAGTAGGACTAATACAGTCTGCACTAGAGCTTTCTTCAAGGGATTCTTGGTGAGAATTCAAATTGCGGATTGCTGGGATCATTTCCATTGACGGCAGAGAGGCAGACTCCTCCACAGGCCCGACTTTGTGCTCACTCCTCTTCTTCGAGGAATTCTGCTCAGAAACAGACAGAAGATTAGCTTTATCCGCTAACTGTGCATCAACCGATTCTTCCCCTTTTCCCTCTTTGGAATCAAACCCATCAAATGCATCAACTCTTGGTAGAGTATCTTCGTGGATATTAACTCTCTGCATCTGACCAGCCGAAGAAGAGCTTGCGCTTCCTGCACCTCTGAAGGACAACTTCCTCTGAACCCCATAACTCTGAAAAGCTTTCACTTTACTCACCTTCCTCTCAAAAGGTTTTAAAGGAGAACAGCGAAGTTCAACAGAAAACATCAGGGGATCTTCCTCATTTGCAAGCCTTTTTTCACACTCCTTATCTGAATGCCCAATAAATCCACAGAAGAAACAAAAGTGTGGTATCCTCTCATATCTCAGATTAAATCTCCGAATTTCCTCAGCCCCCTTCACCTTGATTTTGATAGCTAACATCCTCTTCAGTGGACGATTGACTGGGAGATCCACACGGATTCTGAAAAAATCATGTTTATTACAGCCGTCCTCCTGAACATCCACCTCTCGAACCTTGCCTAGTTTACTGCCATAGATTACACCTCTTTCTTTGTTCATCATAACAAGGGGAAGATCGTAGATTCTGACCCAAATAGGCACTGTTTCTAGGGGTACCATAGAAGGACTCACCAACCCGTTAAAGTCTGCGACTAGCAGTGCATCGCCTCTATGAAGCCACGAACGAACTTGTGATCTCCTTCTGCACTAAAGGATACTATAAACAGATTATCCTTCAAAGATTTATAACTCATCTCTGCTCGCAGGCGCCAAGCTCTTCGCATATCCTCAAACAATGCTACCTGGTTAGGGAACTTAAGGGAATAGAACCTCGCAAGAACAGTCCATTGACCGGCCTTCTTCACTTCATCCTCTTCCAACTCAATCTCCACTGCATCATCATCTTCAACTGTTATTTCACCTTGCATGAACGCTGTCGGGCGTTGGCTTGATGAAGTATTCTCATGGTCTCCCCCAGTCAGACTCTTATCCCGCGCTGGATTTTGAGTCTTCAGATCAGAACTTTGTTCCTCCAAATTTTCAGATTGAACAACCTGGATAGCCAGATCCTCATAGTTCCTCATGTTCTTGGACGTCGCCATCGCAGCACCGAGTAGCTTCGGGCGGGTAACTATCGCATTGATAGTCCCTTTGTCGCCCCCACCACCAGTAGCTGCCATGGGAAGACTCGCAAGGACTCGGAGGAAGAACCCTAGATTAGAACCTGATCGAGGCGTGTGACGAGATCGAGAATTTTGTGTAATTGCCTCCCTTACTTCTGCAGGTATATATTGCCACAGGCTAGGAAAACTAATCGTAACAGATATTTTCCTCAAAACATCTAATCCGAGGATATCTTGATAAACCTTCGGACCCAAGGATTCTTGTTTACCAAGATCAAACCCCGTTATCCCAAACCAGAATATAGCAGATCCAATCTTCATACCATAATTCATAATGGACCATGTTGGAAACCTTTGCAGCACCGATCGTCGATTCCTCCCATATTGGAAAACAAAGAATCCAAAGGGAAAGGAACCAGGAACAGGTCGGAAAGTATGAATACCTTGATAAGGAAGGAACGCAGACGAAGGCTCTGCAGACGTCCTGAGTAGATCGGAGTAGAACTCCATCCATTTTCTTCTCCCATTGGAGAAAATGGCTGCCGCGCGCCAGTCGCCCGGGCGCCGCCAAAACCCTAACCCTAACTTCATCAGTTTTTATATTTTGATACGGAGTTACCAATATTATTTCATCCCTTGCCTAGAGCCTTGCAGCTAAGCACGCTTCAGTATGTGCATCGACGCCACCGAGCTCTCTCGCCACCTCCACCACCATCCTCTCCATCGCCGGCGCCGGCAGCCGAATAGGCACCTCGACGCCCTCCTCGCCGTCCCCGCTCCTCCTCCCGGCGACGTGGAACGTCGCCAGCGTCGCCGTCGCCGGCCCGCCGTACGCCGGCGCGCCCCACCCGACGTCCACGCCGTCGAGCCCCGACCGCGTGAGGTCCGACACCACGTAGGTGCGTGCCACGGCGAACCGCGGCCGCCCGCGCGCCGCCATCAGGTCGGCCACCGACTGGAGGTGGCCCTCCTCCATGGCGCGCGCCTTGGCGTCCACCACGAGGCGGAGCGCGTGCGCGAACGGGCGCCGGCGGAGCTCCCCCGCCGGCGACTCGGCGACGGCGAACGCGAACGCGTTGCCGTAGTAGCCGTCGGGGAGAAGCGGCGGGGCGTTGCTGCGGCGCCCGCGGCCGCCGCCGCGGGCGTTCACGACGAACTGGACGCGCACCGCGTCGGCGGCGTCGTATTGGAGCGCGTTGGCGCGGCACCGCCACGTGAAGGCGGCGATGAGGTCGAACCGCGAGCTCCGGGAGGCCAGCGACGGCGGCGCGAGCGCGCGCAGCGCGGCGATCTCGCGGCGGCCGAAGAAGAAGGGACGGTGGACGAGCGCGTCGGAGTGGGAGACCTTGTCCCTGCCGGCGTCCGGCACCGCCTCGTACTCCGGGTGGCGTGGCGCGGCGACGTCGCGCGGCAGAGGCGGCCGGCGCGCGGAGAGGAGCTCCCTCGCCCACACCGGCTTCACCGTCGGCGCGCCGGGCACCCCGCGCGCGAACTCCCCCACCGCCGTCATGAACTGCGCGACGCCGGCGGCGTCGGCGAGGCAGTGGCAGATCTGGAGCCCCCACACGAAGCCGCCGCACCGCATGCGCGTGACCTGGAAGTAGAGCAGCGGCCGCCCCACGACGCCGCCGTCGGCGTACGCGCCGTCGGCGGCGCACAGGAGCTCCTCGTGGCGCGGCACGGGCGGGCCGGTCACCTCCCCGAGCTCATCCATCGCCACCCCGGACTCCGCCGCGACGAACACCGCGCCCTCGCCGGTGCACTCGACGAGCAGCTTCCTCCCGGGGCTCGCCTCCACGATGCGGCCGGCGAGCGGGTAGTAGTGGACGAGCGCCTCCGCGAGCGCGGCGCGGAGCACGGCGGCGGGGTCGACGCCGTCCATGGCGGCGCGCCGCCGGTACAGGAAGAGGCCCGAGCGGTAGAACCGGAGGCCCTCCTGGTCGTCGATGTCCGACAGCGGCTTGAACTCGTGCGGCGTCGCCCTCGCCGGCGCCACCAGCTCCGCCGCGCCGCGGCGCACCGACGACATCGTCCTCGCCATGTTCACACTAGCTGGACAATCTCTTCGTGAGCTCTTCTGCTGCTTGCTTTGCTTGCATTGTGATTGGCGATGTGAGCAATATATATACGCGTGCATGGGCGTTGTGGTGGTAGGTATAGACTAACCTATGGAATTCCTGACCGTCATCGTTTTATTTATGATTGTATTATGCTTTCCTTCGTCTTATAAGGATTTTTAGCTGCACAACTAGATGTTTGGATTCATGGTTGAAAGCTGTTATATTTTAGACCGGAGGTAATAAGCCATAACAGCTTATAAAAAAGTATTTGCATGTAATGTTTTGTGAGGGCTGCTATAAAACGGGATCCCGTTGTAACGGGATAGACATATTAACTATTCTTTTGCACAAGTATCATATGTATCAGGTCCTAGGTATCATATATAATAGGTAATATGTATCATAGGTATCGGGTACCATGTAGCTGGTACCAACGAGATAGACATATTAACTATTCTTTTGCACAAGTATCACAAGTATCAAGTTCTAGGTATCATATATACTAGGTAATATGTATCACAGGTATCGGGTACCATGTAGCTGGTACCACAACAGTTATCACTTATCAGGTATCAGGTACTGTCTCATAGAAGGATATCCCATTCCAACGGGATACCGTTGTCTAGGTTTTTTGATTTTTTATATATATTTGTTTTAATTAATTTAAAATTAAATGCTGAAAAATAAACTACGACAAAAAACCTATAATTAACTACAAAATCAAATTTTAATATTCAAATTTTAGATGCTTCTTATAATTAAGTAGAAGGGTAAATGATGGAAATAATATGCCTTGGCCACCTAGCCCCTAGGGGCATCGATGATTATCCTTCGAAATGGTCCACCAAATGTTTGCAACCAATGCATCAATATGTTTGATTATTTGATTTCATATAGTAGTTTAACCCTTTTAAGGAAAACTATAGATTTTTCGAAAAAATACTGTAAAACTAAATATTTGAATGCCAATTTAATTAATCTCAAAACTGTATACTTATAACTCTAGCAAAACAGTACTGACATGGACATCTAAACTTTAACATTCATAGTTTTGTCGTAAATTTATTATTAAAACTGTAATTTATTAATCTGCAATACATCGTCTTAATAATGTATTTTTATATAAGTTTAGTACTAAAACCGTTGTTATGCGACATGTCACTCAAAATCTCTGTACGAATTTTGCAATGGCTTGGTTAAAGTTTTTATAGTTTTGCAAAATTTACTCTTAAAGAAAAAACAGCCAGTCATACACGCTAGCTTTGATCTTACTCTCACCTACGAAATTCTAACACACATGCCATATACTTTGATCTTAATTAATCTTCAACGTTGTCACACACTATACATCCATCAACGGCCGGTCAGCTGATGCATCCTGGTCAATCAATCAAACCAGGAATGTGTTGAGCAAATGATGATCAAATCATAAATTAAGTGATCCAGCATGCACTACTGTATAGCTAGACGACTCTTCTTCTTAATTCCATCATCTTTTGAATTTGGATGAAATACTCTTCCATCTGTTGACCACTACACCGGATTTTAGCGTAAAAAGCGATAGTGGCATAGTGCGAATTCCTCAAGATTCGACGACGTTGAGATTTCATGCGTGCGACGAGCTATAGCCACAGCCCACGATCGACGACCTCTTCTTCGTGGACAGCGCCGGTCAGCTCGATCGATCAGCGCCGCCGCCTTGCCGGAATTTAATTATTGTGCACCGGGGCCGGAATCCAATATACTTATATATACTTATATATAGTTCATCCTCTGTAGATAATACTATTTCTCTCTTCTCTCATTGAGCCACATCACCCTGATTATTTCTATAACATTTAGATGATATATCTATGGTCTAAATTGTCTCTTCTTTCTTCTATCATAAAAACATACAATCTTAATTATTTTTAGGCTCAAAATGATATCAAATTATTTTAGTTTTAATAATAAAATTACATTTTATATGTACACATTATTTAACTTAATTTTTCACAGCAACACGGCAGAGTATTCATCTAGTTTAGTTTAATTATTGTGCATGCCGGCGTATAGGAAACGGCGGTAGTGGGTGGCAGATGATCTTACCGGTCACCACTGATTTGGGTGTTGGTTGGCACCATTAATTAATTAATTAGCTTTAAGGAGTAGCACAAGATTAATTAATTAAGTTTTGATTATTACAAACTTGAAAAATGGATTAATCTTATACTATTTTAGAGCACTTTCGTATAGAAAGTTTTCGCATGAAACGTACCATCTAGTAGTTTGAAAAGCGTGTCACGAGTATCCAAAATTTTATTTGTTGGAGAAACGAACGCAGCCTGAATAATCTTCCATGGAAAGATAAAACTACAGGAAAGATAAAACTACACTAAGATCGTATTTGAGAAGCTTAAAATTCTGAAAATTAGTTGATTGATATGTAGGATATGTCTGGGGTGTTTAAGATTCTTATAAGCATATGGTTGGCATCTAGCTTCAACTGAGTTTATTTTTGAGAGAATCCCTTGTATGTCACTGAAAATTGGTCTGATCCTTTATATGCCATTGAAAATTGGTTCTTCCCTTATATGCCATTGATCCAAATTTGCACACCCTCTCATGCCACTCCCGTCAGTTGATCATGTGTTGACCGTTAATTCTCAAGGAAAAAAGACGTATTTACCCTTCTGAGTATAGGGCATGCCTAACAACTCAGAGAGGGCAAATATGTCTTTTTTACTTGAGAGTTAACGGTCAACACACGGTCAACTGACGGTAGTGGCATGAGAGGGTGCGTAAATTTGGACCAATATATGGCATATAAGGGAAGAGCCAATTTTCAGTGGCATATAAGGGATCAGACCAATTTTCAGTGGCATAAGAGATTCTCTCTTTATTTTTTGATTAAACAACTGCAGCTTCTTAAAATAAAAAAAAATAGACTGATTGAGAAAACTTTTACTTTTGATTCTGGGGAAAAACTACGACTATATCAGAAGCTCCTAGATAGAGCTAGCCACCTTCTCGTACTCTAGGTTGGGTTTTCCAGTTTTTATATTCTATTTTATTTTTTGAATTATATATTTGCAAATTAGAATCGAATCTACATTGTGCAAAGGAGAAGCCGCAGCGAGTAAAACTCCCCAAACAAGGCCACCACAGACTTCGGTCGGTTGACTGCTATTAATAACCTTTAAGTCTTGACAAATTAAACTTCACTCTGAATAGTCTTCAGTAGGAAAGAAGTTGACCCAAAGGGCTTGGATAGGCTTGGACCAACTTTTTTGTTTGTACGTTCAAAAAAAGTTGAACAATTTTCATAAAACGTGTTTTGATTTTAATTAGTAAGTTAAGGTTCAAATATTTTGACCAACAATTTATTAAGTTAACATACGAGTATGTTTATGTATAAAAATTACACCATTAGATTCATACTTCAAGGTAGTGGGTCCAGAAAATTGGTTAGTTGTTGGACGTGCTTATCAATGTTATAGCATTGCTAATTATACGCAGATCATAGTGTTATACGATGTCATCGTCAAACATCATATTTGCAAACGAAAAATAATTTGTGAATAAAACTTATATATACGTGTTCTTAACGATCTAAAAGCAAATACTGAAAAATAAACTATGAGAAAAAAAATTCTAAATCAACTCTAAATTTAAGGTTAAAAATTCAAATTTTAGCTTATAAGCATAATTATAAGCGAAATGATGAGGCTGATAATAAATGAATAAGTAATTCTGCTATAGGTTTTATCAAAAGTCGATGGTGTCACCTACCTACACTAACACAATAGAACTGCTCCTGCTTCCAAGTAATTCCACTCAATATTGATTTTTATACAAGTTAGAAATATATTATAAGAGAGAAACTAACGTCAAAATTTAGTTATAAGGACTTTCTAAAATGAAAGTACGCCTTATAAAGTGAACATAGAGAACATAGCGAGTAGTTGGTAAGGTGGCTGCAAAGCAATTCTGATTTAATTTTACTCGTGGCTATTTGTTGGAAATGTCACTCTTTTTTTATAATTGAAGTAACTATATTGGAAGTGAAAAAAAAATTTAAATAAAATTCTTCCCATCTACTCTGAATTTTTATTTTTATTTTCATATCATCTCTTATCTAAATCCTTGGACTTTTGAAGCTAGCTGGGGTGAGTCGTCGTTGATGGTGCCACCGTCATATTGGACTTCATAGTGGTGGTAGTGGAGCTGGCTAAAAGGCTGTTTTTCTATTGCCTTTTCTCCAACTATCGTATCTGTCGCTGATTTTTAAGGGGTTTGAGGATTACGATAATCTCGTTTGGTGTAATGTAATAGCTTTTTGATATTTAGCTGTCGGGCAAATTACTTTTAATTTATGTTACAAAATATTATATTATTGGGCCCATTAGTAAATGTTAAAAATATGACACAATTGGAAAAGACATGACAGCCAGATAGCATATTTTACCCATCTAATATGTGTTTGATGAGTTTTTGTGCAAAAAAAAATTGGGCATTTAATTTTGTACGAAAATATTATCTGCCACCTAACTTTATTAAATATATACGAGACGTGTCTATATGACATGTGAGCCCAGAAATTTTAAATATCACGGTGTCCGAATATATTCGATATTGGACTCGTTTTGTTGTATAATTCGAATAGAAAGTAATGGTTCAAATGGATTTTAAACCCGATGTACGATTCAAAAAGATTGAAGCTATTAAAACAAAATAAATAAGCAAGTGCTATTGTTACTATGAGCATGCATGGTCATTGGCTGTGGCGATTAAACATATGGGGCTCACTGTCATTAGACATGTTAATCACATAATTATCTCCAGACGGCAGTACACGTCGATGGATCTGCTCATCTCTGCGTCGGCTTATCGCGAAGATTAGCACGGGGCGCTGGAAATTCGGAAGCCGTTTCCGCCACCGCTGCCTATATAAGGAGTAGACCCCATCAGGAGCCGGGGACGCTGACGACGCTAAAGGAGACACCCAACCACCATTTTCATTCATCCCATTCCTCTTAGTAGATTAGGAAAATCAAGAGAGGAGATTGAAGCCGGCCGGTGATAGCAAACCGGCGCCGCTGCGGAGAGAATTAAACACCGCAGCCGGCATCCTTCATCAAGTCGATTCATTTATCGACAACATGCCGCCATTCAGGATATTTGCGCTGGATGGTGAGCACATTGAATAAATATTAATTTTCTAGATTAAACACAATAGATGTTCGGTCTTTATTGGTGATCGGAACATCTGCGTGTTCTTAATCTATCTTGATCTTTATGATTAAAGCCAGATCGATGAGAGCCGAAACACGGTTATCATCAAACTCCATTTATACAATCAATGGTATAAGGCTGGTCCGGTCCTCATTGGCGATCGGATTATCCGAATACTATTTGATATTTTCTACGCTCAAAACTAGATGTCCGACCCTCATTGGAGATTGGACAATCTAAGCGGTGTTTTTACAAAATATATTTTGCTACCATGCACACGCATGGGAGCTATTCGTGATCTTTGGAAGATAAAAATTATGGCCGAGTATTTACGAGGCCGGTGTCATGATATTATTAACATGTCCAAACAGATAGGAACGGATACACATTACTAGGTTCCGACGAGGCAAAAGTAATGATATATCCACATCTAATAAAGGCCGGCATATATGACTGGGTACCGACGAGGCAAAAGTCATCCCCTTTATTATGATACCTGATTCATGTATGGACATGGTGATAATATATTGTGACCAGGTTTCGGCAAAACAAAGCCACCAATATCACAGTTATCATTAAATCTCTGCACCAACCTCAACCTTCGGCGAGCGATTAATTTTGAAGACGACGATGACAAGCGCAGCTTAATCGAAGGTATTCCATAGGCTCGTCCCATGGATGTAATTAACCGGCCGCCTCATTGCTAGGCACTGGGAATCAGCGGACTACACGCAATCTCCAGTCAGCATACCTTTCCATTAAGTATTCCTCGCGAAGGCAAAAGGCGAACTCCTACGGGAGCCCTCATGTATTTGTAAATATTCATGTTAATGAATCGTGATTAATAAAATACAGGGTTTTCCTATTTTCTTGTGCGTTCGTTGTTTTGTTTTCATCAAACAATATGCAAACAAGCTAAAATGATTATAAGTTTTTTTTTATTTTCACAATAACTTAAACAATAAGCACAAAGCAACAATGGCAAACAAAGGCAGCCTTTAGGATGTCCAATAAATGTAAGCCCGCACTGTTATGTCCTGCCTTTGCAAAATGATTTTGTTCTGCTTAATTTCAACAAAAATAGTGTCTCGAACTTTGGTTTTAAAACTAACTTTGTTCCTTGGATTTTTAGACATAGGGGAGAGAAGGACCAATTTACAATTAAATCCACGCATTGAATTTACAAAATGATACATCAGGGCGATCAATTCAGTTGCAGTGTACAAATGGAGGAAGTGCATTTACAGAGAATTGTTTCAGAAGATTTACAAGGAAGGCCCTTGCTTGGGCCAAAAAAGAACATTTTCTGCAGAAAATGTGTTTTTGCAGGGAAATGAATGGCTCTACAGCTACAGTTTCAAGTATATGCCTTTCATGTGGAGGAAACAAGCAGCCAGGCACCAGAAGATGATCTCCAAGACGACGAACGCCAAGGTTCCCCAGCGTTTGGAGTGGAAGATTGTCTGAAGCAGAGATTCAGTCAAATCCACCTGAAATAAAAAGGAGAATTTTCCGCGCTATGAATCAAGTCTCTAGAGGTAGTAGAGCTTTGCAAGATCATTTTCTGTTAGCTAACATGTAAGGTTATTGCTCCAGGAAAAGAGGAATTTGGTATTCTTGAGTAAATATTGCATCTATGAAAGAATCCACCCCATATATGGTAGGATGCACAGCACAGCAAGTTGCTTACCAGGTTGTTTTCAGGTGATCTCCAATAGAACCCTTGCACAAGTGTAGGGAAGATCTCACAAGCAGCAAGAACATACACTATAAGCGCGTTCATGCCCATCCACTGGAATAGGATGAACGGCTTCTTGATATTGATGACATCAACCTGCATGACAAAAAGAGGCTCTGTGAATCAGAATCCACTAATGAGGTAATATTATCTGCCTTCATAACAGTTTGTTCGAACAGAAAAGGTAAAGCTTCCACAAACTAACATGGGTACATCAACCGTCATTAAGATTACATATATAGTGATACCATACTATCCCACAGTACGGTTTCCAGAGATTGTTCGAGCACTCAAACTTACAATGTAGTATAGCAACAACAGCAGGAATCCAGATACCCCACCGGTTAGTAGCATGTAGCTCACCGTGTACAAAGGCTTGCTGAAAGGCATGCCTAATGACCAAAACATGCATGAATCAGATTGAGGAATGGAAGCTCTGATTAAAACAACAAATTGCTGAATGCCAGCAGTCTCACGAAACACATAATTACCTAATAACTGAAGTAGAAATCCTGAGACTGTTAACACAGTGGAAGCTAGTAGCCATAATAGCATTCGAGGTGAATGATCCTGTGGTAGAAGCAAAGGTTAGAGAAGTCTGGAAATATCATTGTGTTTTTAAATTCCATTTTGCTCAAGGTTCAAGAGATTCTAAAAGGGAGGTATGCAGTTCATGGGCACTACCTTGCAATGAACCAAAACATGTCCAAAATGCAATCCAACAAAGCAAGTCACTGCAGCCATCAATGTACTGTAAAAACCAATAAGGGAGGTTATTTTCTGGTTTGCCTACAGGAAATGGGAAGGTTCAATTGATAAACATTGGTCAGGTCAATTGAGGATTGAATCGGTTGTACAATTATTTTAAGAACCAAATAATAAAAATAAAAGATATAAATAACCACCTTAGCAAACCCTCGGGATCAAATGGAGCCAGGCACCAGTCTGGTGCATTTGGAGGAAGTGGTCCATAATCAGGAGAGTTAACACTGCATTCCTATGGAGCAAATAAAAGGAATTTAATCTTGCATATTTTTCAAATTGGTATCCTATAAGAACATGGCTATTTGATATCCAAGTGAATCGGGAAAAGATCAATATCATGTGTTTGCTTAAGGAAAAAAAGACCTTAGTCCTTTTATAGACTGGGTTCTTGTACAGGTGATTTTCACCAAGTAAAACTCGATCTACAAATCCAACTGCATTGCAAGGTGGCCCAAGACTACCTCTAACTCCACACTGGATCTGAAACACCAAAAACAAAACCAGCAAAACAGGTTAGTAACTGCAACGATGTAGATATGATGATTAGGACCACAAAAAGCTGTAAAGGAACCCACAGCCACAGGTAAAGACTCCACAGCAATTAGCTTTCAAACACTGGATGAATTGACCAGTTATTCAACCTAGGTTTCATATCCACCAGTAACTTATGGAGTTTTGGTTCCAGAAATACTTTATGAATAAGGATATACAAAATCCGATATTTTCTTAGGTTAGTAACTGCAACAAGGTAGATATGGTGATTAGGACCACAAAATGCTGTAAAGGAACCCACAAGTAAAAACTCCACGACACCTAGCTCTCAACACTGGATAAGCTGACTTATCTGATCTGAACATAAGGTTTCATATCCACCAGTAACTTCTGGAGTTCTGGTTCTAGAAGTACTGTACGAATCAGGATTTACAAAATCTGATATTTTCTTAATATACATACTAAATTCAATTCAATTTTGAATTCCTGAATCCAGGGTAACCAACTAGGAACCTTCTTCAATTAAAATTCGGTTGAAGTTGAGTTTTAGTTAGCAACCGTTCAGGAATTCTTTTCCCCAGTCTTTGCCAGGAAGCAGTACTGGCCTGATCCAGTATTTTTTTTATCAAGACTTGGGTTATTCCTGGTAAATCAATTCTGGATAAGCATCTGAGAACGAAACAATGGGACAAATATGATGGCCGTGAATTCATGTATCTTAAAATGTCACCAAACATATCAACTAGTTTTGAAAAATATAACTGTGTAAATACGAAAAGGGTCTGTCACCCAATCAAAACATTTTTGTCAAAAGGAAAATAGTCAGCATAAATGGGGTCAAAGTATATTTACTGAATAAAGCTCAGTTAGACATGATTGAAATATTGCATTCCAGCAACTTGAGTAGGTTTCATCCAACCAAATATATCACTACAGATACAGAATCATGATGTGCTTCAAGTATTGAAACAAAATCACATGAAAAGCAAACAAATGGTACATCTAGCAATCCGATTCTTGAGCACACAGGATACCATCCAAATAGAATAAAGTGTTTAGATTAAACAGGATATTCTCTTCTTACCATTTTCATTCCAATTTCGTTGCCCGGAGTTGGAATTGTAAGGATTGAATTGCTAGTTTGAACTTTAAATTCCCAATTTGAAACATAAAGGCCGAGTAGCAAGCCAACATAAAGTGCTGAAATCATTACGGCCACGATCCTTCAAACGATAAACAAATGTCAGAAATGGTATGGCCATATTAGTATATCTTCCATGTCTTGAGTTCAGAATAATTCTCAGTTATAATCTCATATGAAGCACAGCCAAACTACAAATATTGCAATTTTTTTAACTGTACAGAAAAAAGTTACCTAACCCTCTAGCAGATGAACAGATCGAGCAATCAAAATGACCAGAATTACCAAAACTCCCCCAAATTCAGGACTATTAATCAACTAATGCAGATAACATTCTTTAGATGGACAACTAAACATGTTATTTCATATCATGGAACGTTTGTAGAGCAAATACCACTTTACATGAACATAGAATGTAATCAGCATGTATAAACAATGATTGGATTACATAATTCCAAATGCTGAACAAAAACTGAAACTTTCCATAGTAAATTGTTACACTTATTAACTAACCACTCCATGAAGTATTTCTTCACAAATGATATAGCTGAATCCACTGAAATATTGTTGACAAGCCAAATCTCTGAAATTGCCGCTAGAAAGTATCCAATAGCTATCCTCTACCAGAAGTATAACAACAAGTTAACGTTTCGAACATTCAGTAAGCCGAAGAGGAAATGTGATAAAGCTTCTCCTTTTGTTTTTAAACACTACCTGCAGCACACCTAGCCATCGAATATGATCCAAATCAATGCCATAAGTTAAATTGTGTCTGCCATGAATATATCCTCCTACAGGTAAGATATAATTTTAAAAAGGAAAAACTCCGACCAAAAGAAATGGCAAAATATGGAGCTAAATGTTGCTGGTATAGTTGGCAAGGAAACACAGGGATAAGTATAACCTTGCAAAATTACACCCAAGATGAAAAGTTTGATGGCCCTGATTGCAGCCTTCTTAGTTGCCACTGTTTTGTTTGGTGTTTTCTGTTGTGCATCATCCACAATAGTCAGATGTTATTCTATAACTAAGCAGCCAGTGGTTTAAGTCACGCAGTGAGCACCAACATCATGAGTAATCACACACATTCCAAGTGATGGAGCACAATGACATAGGCATTAAATTTTGTTATATGCTTACATCACTTGGCAGATTGGAACAGAAGTTGGAAACAAAAAAAGGTATACCAGATTTAAAGTAGAAAAGGTAACCAGGATAAAAAGATTGTGGCATAAAGGTTTGCAGAATTTTTTTGGCATTGCAATCAGGTAGCCTATTATATTCTCACAAAGTTTCAGAAGATTTGCACAGCAGATATGCTCATTACCTCATTGGCTTAACAACTGAGTATTCACAAATCCTCTGAAACTTAGTCAGCAATAGGGTATCTCAACAAATTCCCCAAACCAAAATTACCTAGGTTCAACACACACGGGCCAATTTTTACAAGTCACAGGCACATCAAAGTTCCTTTGATTTGCTTGATACTCCCTATGTTTCAGATTATAAGTCGCTTTGACTTTGGTCAAAGTCAAACTACTCCAATTTTAACTGAGTTTGAAAACAAATATAGTAATATTTACAACACCAAATTAGTTTCATTAAATCAATAGTTGAATATATTTTCATAATATATTTGTTTTGGGTTGAAAATGTTATTACTTTTTTCTACAAACTTGATCAAACCTGTAGCAAAGTCAAGACGACTTATAATCTGAAACGGATGGAGTACTACATATCAAAGCTTTTTCTTGAAGTAGCAGAATTCGGGTTTGGGCGTCAGGTAAGCAGGAGAGGGCACTAGGGTTGGGGGTGTATACCTTGAAGACGAGGGCGGCGGAGACGCCGATGATGAAGAGGAAGGCGGGCATGACGAAGTCGGCCACCGTCACCCCGAGCCACGGCGAGTGGTTCATCCCCGGCCACGCCCCGCCGGCGTCGTCCACCAGTATCATCATCTGCGCCCCCAACCAAAAAAACCAAACCCCCAGTCACCACGAGAATGAGAGGATCCCCGACCACGCCGTCGGGAGAAATCCGGTCGAGGAAGGAGGCTCACGGCGACGGTGAGGCCGCGGAACACGTCGAGCGAGGCGACCCGCCGCGGCTTCCGCTCAGCCCCCGCCGGGTGCTGCGGCGAAGGGGATGATGCGGGGTAGGGGCGGATCTCGTCGTCGTCGTCGGCGGAGGCGAGGAGAGGACGGCGGTGGCCGGCGTCGGCGTCCCCGTCGCCGGCGATGGCGACGACGGCGGCGTCCATTTTTGGGTCGTTTGCTCGTGCCGTGTACAGAGTAGACCAGTTAGTAGTAAAGTATGTCGCGAATTTGTATTATATTGAAATACGTGAAATATTCGGTCGGTTAGCTCTCGTAGCTCAGTTGGTTAGAGCACCCGTTTAGTAAGCGGGAGGTCTTGAGTTCGACTCTCAACGAGAGCAATATCTTTTTTATAAAAAAAAAATTATACAACTAAATTTTTAAACCTGCGCTCCATTTAATTTTATTAGGGCTAAAATTTTAATTCCGGCTATTTTAATTTGTTTCAAAATTTGGAGGCTGTAATATGAGAACATGAACTTCGCTTGGATCATCTTACATTTATTTCAGCTAATGTATTTTACTTTAGAACCTTTTATTACATTTTTATTTTTTATTTTGGATTATTTTACATTGCTGCCATACCCAAATCTTCAAATAGGCCGAAAACATCATGGGTGCATTAGGGTGTCTTAACTTGGCTTGTTATCTCGACAAAGCTTAACTAGCCCATTTAAACCAAGCTCATGATAAGGCCATGCGGTTGGTTCGGTCGATCAAGAATTAACAGTTACATCTATCATGTAGCAAATGAAAAAGAAGCAAATCTTGCCTTTAGAGCATACTACTATGTCCAAAAAAAGACTAATCCTAACAACGAATCTAGACACATATGTGTTTTGGCTCTCCCTTATCAACACGTATTTTCTTGTGTAGGTGGAAATTAGCCGCACAAGCTAAAGAAGCTATCTAACACTTCACATTGTCAAACTATGCTAACTTTTGAGGAAGATCCAAATGCGTCTATTGTCCTTGACGCGGCAAGAGGATTGTGGATAGGGAGAAGATCGTGATGACACATCAAGTCTAAGCTTGAGGAAAAGTATAAAGGATAGTTCATCGTGAAGAAAAAGAAAAGGCAATCCTAACTTTTCTTGTAAAAATATGAGTCTAAAGAGTAAATTTAGAAATTTGATAAAAATATTAAGTTTTTTAAAATGAATTACTACCAGATCTTACCTAATAGTTGTACATTAATTAATTAGAAGAATTAACATATACAAACAAAATAGAACTACATGGTTTATAACCAATCAAAAATACCAAAAAGATCTAAAACATTCGAATTTAGAGTCTCATTAATCTCAAGACAGCTAGCATACATCAACGATAAGAAACACACATTTCCTATTTTTGTTTTTGTCCGTGTGAACTAACCTTATAGATCGACACATCTCGTCCACGCTTAGTCATCAATATAGCAATATAAAATTAAGAGATACCATATAAAACATCCCAAAGAATAACCATCCCACATAAAACTCAAAATCACCTACTAATCGATTTGAATTTAGAAAAAAAAAGTCATAGTATTAATCTCCAAGACAAGCTTAATAAAGCCTTAAACACCCTTAAACACAACCAAAAAAGCATCCCAAAACACCGAAGTTACCATTTCCCACCCGTTCGATACCGTGTGCAAGCCACCCCCCTCCCCCACACCCCAATCCTCCTATATAAACCCCCACCCTGCCTCCTCTCCCCCACCCCCGCCCCGTTCCCCAATTCGTTTCGAAATCGAATTCCAAATCGAAATCGAAATCGAATCGATTCGTCCGTGCGTGCGTGCGTGCGCGACTCGCTCTCACACACTTCGCCTCCACCGACCTCTCTCTCTCTCACTCGCTAGGGTTTCGAGGCGACGACGATGTCGCTGCGGCCGAGCGAGCGGGCGGAGGTGCGGCGGAGCAGGTACAAGGTGGCGGTGGACGCGGACGAGGGGCGGAGGCGGAGGGAGGACAACATGGTGGAGATCCGCAAGAGCCGGCGCGAGGAGAGCCTCCTGAAGAAGCGCCGCGACGGCCTCCCCGCCGCCGCCGCGGCCGCCGCGGCGGCGTCCCCGCTGCTCGCCCACTCCTCCGCGCTCCAGCAGAAGGTTTGTATATGTCCCGATCTGGCCCGGTTTTTTGGTTTGGGGGGCGGGCTCTCGATCTGGCGGTTCCGGATCTGGTTTTCTGACCCCCTGTGTGGGTGTGTGTGCAGTTGGAGGGGTTGCCGGCGATGGTGCAGGCGGTGCAGTCCGACGACAGCGCCGTGCAGCTGGAGGCCACCACGCAGTTCCGGAAGCTGCTCTCCATCGGTGAGGTTTCGATCTCCTCTCTCGGGACCGCGAGATTTGGATGGATGTTTGTTGTATCACTCGTTGACGTTCTATTATACGGGATTAATATTATTGAGGACTAGGCCAGCTCTAGATTCGTTTGTGGATGACCACGACATGCTTGTATGATAATTTACTTTGCAGATTGGGAGAGAATGAGAGATACAAATCCATCGCGGTGTTTCGAGATTGGGAACTTTGTTAGCACTGTCTAGTACACTTTTGATTGAACAATCATGGTTCCAATGGGATACTTGTTTCGGTAGTTATAAAGATGGTGTTTGCTTGTTAGTTTACACATGATCTCTTCTTTTACTTTTAATCGAACTGCTTTATTTCGTTTTAAGGTAGCTTTTTGGGTAAAGTCCAGTGAAATATAACTGATTGCATGATTCTACTCCTATAAACAGACTGTTAAAAGGTGCCACTTTGTAATGATTTGTTTAAATGTTTGTAGAGCGGAGTCCTCCAATTGAGGAGGTGATCAACACAGGGGTGGTGCCTCGCTTTATTGCCTTCCTCCAACGTGAGGATTATCCCCAACTCCAGGTGTGTCAACAGTCACAGTGATTTAATTTACTAATAGTGTTAACTAGGAACCATTTGCTAAAGCTAACCATCCCCCATGGGTTTTCTTGCGCAGTTTGAGGCTGCATGGGCACTCACTAACATTGCATCAGGCACATCAGATAACACCAAAGTGGTAGTTGAGTCTGGTGCTGTGCCCATCTTTGTCAAACTGCTTAGCTCCCCCAGTGAGGATGTCCGTGAGCAGGTATGTCAACAGTTAACAGAAGAATTATAATTTCCCTGAGGGACCTGTACTGCATGATGTTTAGATTGTTACATTTCTCTCTCTTTTTTTTTAAATCTTCGCAGGCTGTATGGGCTCTGGGAAATGTGGCTGGTGACTCACCAAAATGCCGTGACCTGGTGCTTGCAAGTGGTGGGTTATACCCATTGTTGCAACAGCTTAATGAGCACGCCAAGCTCTCAATGCTCAGGAATGCCACATGGACACTGTCAAACTTCTGCCGTGGGAAGCCTCAGCCTAATTTTGAGCAGGTTTAATTCTGGGCTACCTTCTACTTTGATGCACTGACCTAAGTTTTTATCATTAGGATGGTTTTGTTGATTTTTTGTGTTCGAGCAGGTCAAACCAGCGCTTTCTGCACTGCAGCGCCTCATCCATTCTCAGGACGAGGAGGTCCTGACTGATGCCTGCTGGGCTCTTTCTTATTTGTCTGATGGAACTAATGATAAGATCCAAGCTGTGATAGAATCAGGAGTGTTCCCAAGGCTTGTGGAACTTCTCATGTAAGTGCCTCCTTTTCTCTTCATGTAACCCTTGCGCTATGCTGAAGTCTGAATTTCATAACAAATTGTTGAAGTCTGAACTGCTGTTGCTTAATTCAGGCATCCTTCGGCTTCAGTGCTCATTCCAGCTTTGCGCACGGTGGGTAACATCGTCACTGGGGATGACATGCAGACTCAGGTAAACATATTAATTCATTTGGTTCATTTCTATTTATACATTATTCTTTTGTGAACAAACATGAAAGCTGTAATTCCTAGTTGCTGCAGCGATTAAAGAGCAATGTCTCCAGAAATTGATTTTGCCATCTGTTTGCTTCATGCGCGTGTTCTCCTTTATTGGGATGATTAACTCTGTAGCTAATAGCTGCAGTACTCTTCTGTAATGTCAAGTTATGGCAAAGCTTCTCTGATCCTACTAGATCCATGAGCATGCTGAATGGTGAAGGTGTTTGGATTGTACGGGGAGCATGCCCTATAGATATTCTTCTGTTTTCTCCCCTAATATTTTTATGGCTAATTGATTATTTAGTGTTGAGAATATTTACAGCTCATTTATTATATTAGCTTGATCATTTCCTCTTTAATTCTTTTTATGCGAAGTGTGGCAAAATTTTCAACTAGGATGTATCCTTTTTAGCTATTCACATATACATAATTCGGCTAGTTAGAATATTATGTAGCATGAAAAATAAAGCAAGACCACCATGTATGTCAAATTGTGCATTCTTTGTTATATACCAAATTCTGAATGAGTTGGAACACAGTATGTATGATAATCTAAGTTGGGAGGATGAAATAGTTCTGTTCACCTGATAACTGGTACTGTGTCGTACTGTGCAATGTTATTGTTGAAGCAGGACATCATTTTAGAAACATTTTAAGATTATCTCCATCGATTAGTGATTCAAAATGAACAATACCTATGGTTTAGTGCCTCCATGGATGCTCATATTTCCCTCTTTTTGATATGCATATATTGTAAGGATGGTTTGTTAGTGCATTGTTGTACTGGCAGTTGCTACATTTCTGTACATTTTGCATGAGATTGATCATGGGGAGTATTTGCTAGGCCAACGATATCGTGTTGACATTATTGACTCCATTCTCAAGAGAGAACTGGCATTTCATATTTCACTTGACCTGATTTTTATGTGCTATCAATGTTTATTGTTCATCTCTCTCAATTGCTGCTTGACTACGTTCTCAAGAAAGAATTGACATAAGATTTTTATATGTTATCTGGGTTCATTGTTCATCTCTCAATTGCTGCTGCAGTGTGTCATCGATCATCAAGCTCTTCCATGTCTCTTGAACCTCTTGACCAACAATCATAAGAAAAGCATCAAGAAAGAAGCATGCTGGACTATCTCAAACATCACTGCTGGCAATAGGGAACAGATTCAGGTTGGTGTGATTTGAAGCTAGAATTATCATATTGATATTGCTTACAACATTGCTAAAATACTATTGTCCGTCTACAGGCTGTGATCAATGCAAACATAATTGCTCCTCTAGTACATCTGCTGCAAACTGCTGAATTTGACATCAAGAAAGAGGCTGCGTGGGCAATCTCAAATGCCACTTCTGGTGGAACACATGATCAGATTAAGTATGCCTTTTTTTTTTCTTTGCATTACTTGTGTATAATATTTATAGAATTTTTCATTGTCATTATGGTTTGCTCACAACATATGAAATGTCGACCAGGTACCTTGTTGCCCAGGGTTGCATCAAGCCACTCTGTGATCTGCTTGTTTGCCCAGATCCCAGGATCGTGACAGTTTGCTTGGAAGGTCTTGAGAACATCTTGAAGGTTGGAGAGGCAGAAAAGAACCTTGGGGCAGGGGATGTCAATTCCTATGCTCAGATGATTGATGATGCTGAGGGACTGGAGAAGATTGAGAACCTTCAGAGCCATGACAACACTGAAATATATGAGAAGGCAGTTAAAATGCTCGAGTCCTACTGGTTGGAGGAGGAAGATGATGCCATGCCCTCAGGTGACAACGCTCAAAACGGCTTCAACTTTGGAAACCAGCAGCCCAATGTTCCATCGGGTGGATTCAACTTTGGCTGAAGGTATGCTATCTTTAGCAGTTAAACTAAGTAGGATTGTGGTTGATCATGGGGATGGTGTTTTCTGATCGATATAAATATTGTTTATGCAGATACCTATCTGGAATGATGTACCACTGTTCCTTAGCTACTTGCTTGGGGCTAGTCAGAGTTGGGGGAGTCTTGTCGTTGGAGTCTTGGTTGGGTCCTGGCGGTCTGGTCTCAGGCAGTCGTAATGTCAGTCCCAGTCCTTGGGCTTGCATCATCGCCAGTGGTGCAGCTTGGTCAGTGGTCAGTCTTGAAGGTCATCCAGTTGGATTTACTTGGGCTCTGTCTCACCTGTGGTGGGAGCATGGGGGAGAGGGCGTCCAGAGCCGCAGGTGTTGTCGGGAGAGAGTTACCAGTTGGCTTTTGCCTCCTATATAGCATGAATGAATTATATTATCATCTGTTTTGAGGTAAAAAGAACCTTGAAAGATAGGGTTTATTCATGGTTGTGTCAGTTTTTGTCAAGTCTCTATGTGCTGTATTAACATGTCAGAAGAGTATTGGCACAACTTATAAACATCAAATAGCAACTGGGTTTTTGGTGGAGTCCCATGCTGGTCTGTCTATTCATTGGTTTGTTGTTGTAATGTTTTTAATGTCATGGTTTTGTCGCGTCAAAGTTTGTCGGTGGTTGTTTGCGTACTTGCTGTTGTTGTTGTCGTTGTCGTTTTGAGATTCATGTTGTTATGTCTGTCTTCTGTCTAGAAAACTGAAAACTCAGGAGAACCGCCTAGGGAAAAAGACCGCCTATTTTGGCGATGAGTTTTGGTTGAGTTCTTGGTGTCATGTGTGGAGTGTAAAAGGGAAGATGATGGTTCCTAGTTTTACCCCCTGGAACCCGGTTTATGATTGTATGATTATTACGTTATGAACCATATGCACATGATAAAAGGAAGAGAAGGGAGCTGTCCCACTTCATATTTCCCTATGGAGATGATTTGCACTGGTACTGTGAGACTTGTTCTTTTGTTTAGTCATGCGATTTTGATCTTACTAGATGTGCCTGTGCTGCTTACTACATGTCTCGTGGGTTGGCCGCCGATGATTGCAGCTCAATCCCAATGCAATCATGAAAGCAGAAAGCAGGAGCAGCAAGGCAGCCACTATGTCCTAATAATTGGAAACCATGTGGGCAGGCGGCTGACGGTTTGGGCGCCGTGGAGTAGTTTGGAAGCGGTTTCTGCTGATCTTGTGCTGGGCGTTCCATGATGATTGATTGATGACTAGCTGTGGCTTTTCTAGTCTTTTTTCTTTTATTATCGTGTACTGGGTTGCATTGCAGATTAGCGCGGCTGGGAAGGAGATTTGGTGTGTTGGGTTAGTCATCCCCAGGTCCCTGGCTCCTGGAATCTTGTTCCTCTTGGATGTGATCTTTCAAGTGTTGCTCTTCCCTTATGCTTCCTGCACAACTTTCATGTTCACTCCAAATTTAACTTTGACCTGAAAAATTAAGTTGTATGCGTACAAAATACAATGTGTTAACACTAGCACGACACATCGAATGTGATTACCGATTAACCTCAGTGCAATCATTCCTATGCAGATTGGGTACAAGAGTTGATGCTCTATGTACGAGTAAGTGTTTAATTAATAGTAGACACGTCATCTCTAATAGTCTACTTGTACACATATACGTTAATACCTCACAGCGTAATATTTTTCTTCACTCTACTCTTCTCTACCTATGTTATCTACAGCCTTATCTTTTCAGTTATACTCATACTTATCAATTTTTAGTCTTAAATTTAGAGTTGATTTTGGTTTTTTTATTGAACTTTATTTTTCAGTGTTTGTTTTTAATCACTAATAACACGTATAAAAAAGTTTTATTCACAAATTATTTTTTGTTTGTAAATATACTATTTGGGGCCGCTAATGTGTTAATTTTTGAAGCCTGCTTATGTCATTTATTGTATTCGCACTAAATGGCTGTGCTTCATATCACGCAGGTTAGTAGTACTTTCTTATTTAATACTCCCTCCATTTATTTTTGATAGTCATATTTCATATTGGCACACAGATCAATGATAAATAATTCTACTTATCATTCATTTAAACATGCTACTAGTTATTTCTCGTAAACAAGCGATTCATTAATATTTACATTTCTCGATGCCCATGTAGCCAATCATGTGTGGAAGAATGAAGAGTCACGCATTAAATCGGAGAAAATCATTAAGATGATAGGTTGTTAGATTGAAATATGCCTATCAAAAATAGATTTCTCAGATTTGAAAATATGACTATCAAAAGTAGATAGAGGGAGTAGTATTTATTATACTTCACATGAAGTGTCAAGAAAACGGTGGTGTGAATCGCTTCATCCCAGAGGAGAAAAGCGGACGGCGCAATGCAGCAAAACACTCCATAGTGGAGAGGGAGAGGAGATGAAGGGCAGGGAGGGACAAACCCTAGTGCTCTCCTTTCCACAGCATCAATGACACGAGTTGATGAAGTTGACTAAAGCTGTGATTAAGCCACACAGATCAGGAGAGCTCATCAGGGAATCTCATGCTGGGACAATGATAGGGAGAGAGGCCCTGCCTTTGCATTGCATTTCTGTGTTCTCTGCTTTTGTCCCCATCTTTTCATGACTGTTCCCTCTGTTCTGTTGCAACAGTGCTAATGCTTTGCTTCTTTTCTTTCTTTTCTTTTCTTTTTTTCCTTTTCAATGTTGGTATTTTTTTCATCTTAACTACAAAACTGAAATTGTATTATAGGCCTTACAATTGATGGGGGTTGATGATGCATATGCCTAGCTGTTCCATGGAGTGTACAATTAAATAGGGATATACAAAAGGATTAGATGGCTAGAACTTTCCATTGTTTCTAGTTGGATGTCCTTTCTTAGTTTTTTCATTGTTCTCTTGCTAGTACAGTACCTTCTTATGGTTGTACTTTGCTAGTAATTTAAAGTCAGTAAAAATGATTGTGGACTAGGGCAAGAGGTTAGGTGCTAGTATTTTTCTTCTTTAGGGCTTGTTTAATTATAGACAATACTAAGCCACATAGTTGGACTTTTCAACAATCAGTATCACCTTTCTCTAATTTTTTTTGTACAGCATTTCTATGTATTTATTCTCTAAAGCTTGTTAGTACTTGAATCATTAAATTTCAAATAAAAATTTGGAAATCGTACTGGCTTTGCGGTTGACATGATTTTTGAACAAGCTCACTTTCTCCTCCTTTCCTGACTGTAAAGAAGCAACCCGTTTATTCAGCTGTTCCTTGTCTCCAGACTCCAAAGCGACTCATCTATATTTGGCTGGACCTTTTCTTTCTTTCATTTCATTTCATTTTCCTTTTTCTTTTTGGTCTTCCTGTCCTAATTCTCTCCCTCTCTTCGGCTCCTTGTTTGACACATTTTCCTCGTTTATTTCAATCATCTTTAGTTCATGTTGAGTTAGGTCTTCTCTTACTACTCAACTATGTGTTGTGGATACAGGTAGGTGTAGGTTGGATATGTATCCATTTACCATGTGCATATGTAATGTATACTGTTCGTTTTCTTTTTTCCATGATAAATAATGTGTTTCTACTAAATATCTAGATGGAGCATATAAATGCACTATGGCGAAAACTTGCAGAGTATTTGATTAATAGATTCCAAAAAAACAAATTGCAATAATAAAATTGGTGGTAGAATTAATCAGGTAGAATTTCCCACATTCCCCACTAGGTCTCAGTGCAAAATATCTCGTACATTAGTATCATCACTTTCTTTTCTTTCCCTTTCCAAGTGTTTCGCCTTAAACTCTTTTATCTGCATGATTGGAACTAGAATAAAAACGGTCAGAAACGATGAAATCTCTCTGAAAACAATATGCTCCGTTGGTCAAGAATTTATCCCACAAGAGATTTGGTGATTACATGACTGCAGCTCAAATGGTCACAATATATCTATAATCATCGTATCTAAATTCAAGTGCTAAGATTTACTACCCCAATTACTCCATACTCATATAAATGTTAATGAATCTAAACATATATATATATATATCTAGATTCATTAACATATATATTAATACGGACAATGATAGAAAGTCTTGCAGTATGAAACGAATGGAGTATTATATTAGGATAATGGATAATGGGATGACATATAATGGTTAACTTACACACTCTGCATCAGTGATCCTGGTCCCACAAGGAAGACACTGATGCCCGGTTTTCAGCAGATAAGGCAGAGGGCACCACTACTAGAGATAGATAGGGCTACCTGCCCCCATCAGGGCCCACACGTCAGCCTCACACCCCCATATCCCCATCTCTCCCTCTCTTTTATACACCACGTTTGCTGGCTTGGCTTCCTTCCACACTCCTACTGCTGCTGGATAGTATAGATCGTCTCTTTTTCTTTCTTTCTTTCCTTCCTCCACAACTACTCCCTCCTCTTCTCTCCTCTTCTCCTCCCTTTCGCTCCAAGAAACGCAGCCAAGCTCCGCTTCGCTTGCCTCCACGCCACCATCTGCGCGCGCCACTCCGATCGATCGATCGATCGATCGATGGGTTCTTCCGATCAGAAGGTGGGTGATCGGCGCAGTGATCGTCTCTGTTCTCTGATCAGAAGAAGAACAAGAAGAAGGGAAGGTTTGATGTTTTCGTTGCTGTTCTTGCAGGTGATCGGGATCGCCGCGGCGGCAGCGGCGGCGGCGGAGGAGGCTGGGAGGCGGTGCTGCGTCGAATGCGGCGCCACCACCACGCCCATGTGGCGCGGCGGCCCGACCGGCCCCAGGGTGCGTTCTTGTTCTTCTTCTTCATCATCGATGCCTTTCTGAATTTTTATCAGTGCTGTTGTTGATCGTGATCATGATCATGATCATCAGTGACCTTCTAGATTTGATAACCTTCGGTTCAATTCTTGGACTTAATGGAGTGATCTTGTAAAACAGTAAAAAGAAGAGAGTTTGTTGGTGGTATTTAGTGACCTTCTAGATGAGTTTTACTACATGAAAATTGCGGTTATTTAGTGTTTTTTAGATTTGAAATTCTAAGTTTTTTGACTTATTCTAAGTATGAGTTTACTTGGTTTAGTGGCACAAGATGATTAAGTTGATGATTTATTTGGATTAAGCTGTGAGGGAGAAAGATATGGTGATGATTGTCGTAATCATATATTGAGTAGCTGCCCTGTGGAACATTTCAGGATCTTTAATTCAGTTTGATTCCATTTTGGTGGTTAGGTGAGCTGTTCCTTGCAACAGTACTAACCTCCAATCCAAATTCCAAAGTGTGAACTGCTTAAAAAAAGGGCAGCTTTCTTTGGTTCCATCCAAGCTCCTAATCCCATTTTTAATTGCTCGGGTCAATTCTCTAATGGCATCCTTATCACCATACCTGTTTCTCTGTCCTGGTAATAGCATCAAGCCATAATATAGTTCAGAGAACTGAATAAAATAGATTGCCCCAAAAAATTGATATGATATTGCTTGTGCTTATTAGCACCATAGTTTGACTTGGGCTATTATTGAGTGGAGGATTGTTGCTGCGGATTATCTACCATTAAATATTTCGACAAATAAATCTAATAAATAGCTTAAAACAAGTAGTCTAAGCAATGCAGTAGAAAAAAGCTTTTTGAGAAAAAAAAAGTATAGAGTAAATAATCCATTTCAATAATTCGGTGAAAAATCTGAAAAGAACTAAGCCTCTGGATGAGCACTGAACTATTCTTTTTTTGGTTTGATTGCAGTCGCTTTGCAATGCGTGCGGGATCCGGTACAGGAAGAAGAGGAGGCAAGAGCTAGGCCTAGACAAGAAGCAGCAACAAGAACATCATCCTCATCATCATCAACAACAGCAGCAGCAGTATCAGCGGCAGCAACAGCAACAGCAACAAGAAGATCACAGTGATGCAGCAAGTTCAGTAAAAGACAGTAGCAGCAGCAGTAGCAACAAAAGCAGCAGCCTCCAAGTGGTGAAGAAAAGGAGGGTCCTGATGGGAGTGGAGGAGGCTGCAATCTTGCTCATGGCCTTGTCCTCATCTTCACCCACACTACTACATGGCTAGCTAAGAACCTCACACCATTGATGCACAATTGTACATACAGTGATACAACACAAACACACAAAACACAGACCACCCAATGGTTCCAAGCCAATCAGATGACTGTCTTAGATTATCATCAGGATGAGATGAGATAGGAGGGGGAAGAGGCCATTTTCAGGGTGATGTTGATGTCAAGGGGGGACTGGATTTGGTTCTTGGATCCATCCTGCCTTTTGTGCAACCTTAGATCTCTGAAATCGTCATATCGCGATCCAAATCCGATTGCGAAGGCGCGATGGAGGGAAATTGTGTGCCCTTGAAGAGGGTAAGAAGCTGGTCCCTGTCCAGTTGTCCTGTCTATTGTTGATCATGGAAGGCTCCTTGTAATTAGTTAGAGGTCATTTTACACCTCTCATATCCCCTTTTTCTGTTCATGTCTTTTGTTTTTATGTGTTTTGAATGATGATGTTCTTTTCAACTTGAGAAGGATGGTGACCAAAAGAAGACACCAGCCTTCTTGACTTCATGTGTGCAATAAGGATGAAGTGAATAAAAATGATTTGTTTGTTTTTATTTCAGTTAGTGCAACAAGTAGATTTTCTACTATCATCTACTGGGATTACAGAAAGCTGCCAATGTGTTGCTGTTTCTTGTGCCAATCAGATGGGATTACAGAAAGCTGCCAATGTGTTGCTGTTTCTTGTGCCAATCAGAGTTCTGACAATGGAAAACAACAGCTGTGACATTTTGCATATCATCAGAATAATAGGCAGAGGCTGTGGCATTGAGTCCAAGACCAGAATAATAGACAGATAAAAAGACTATCAAATTCCAACTTTATTAGCATATCACTCTTGCAGGTGCAGATGCAAAGAAAGCATCATATACGATTATATGAAGTAGGAAGATATAAGCAAACCACCACCATGAATTACACTCATTATGCTGTAGTAATCACTGATCAGCTCTGCTTAGATAAGAAAGGCTCGGCATATACAAGGATTAGATAAAAGCAGTGATCAACTCACTGTATCACTTTATTTAAGCCCTATTGCAACTGATATTTGTGTAGGCTAGTTAACGCTGCCTCTACAATCTATGAAAGTATGCTTCTTCGCTGTTGCATACATCAGGTTCAAAATTACAGCTCTCTATTCGTGGTGAAAACTTTGAACTAGTCCTGATCTCAAAACAAAGAAAGTGACTATGGTTTTTGAAGGATTGATTTTCACAAACAACGATGCAAAGTTTCCCTCGACATGTGAAGATGTTGAGATTTGGCCGTAAAGAAAAGTCATTCCAACTGGCCAGTCAGTTCAGCTTCCTCGTCACCATCAAGTTCTTGCTCTACTCCTTTCACCTGCCAAAGAAGTGTGAAATATTAAAATTTCGCTAGATCAAAGGATAAATTACTGCTTTAAGCAGTCTGAACAAACTAATAGGAATTGCAACTTCTTTCAACATTTTACTTATCAGATAAAACACCTTATATAATGAGCCAAAAGGAGTGGAGGTTTTGAGGAAACAGAAATAAAGCACAGAAGAGATACCTCAGGGACATAATGCATGAGCATGTTTTCTATCCCAGACTTCAATGTGACTGACGAACTTGGACATCCACTGCAGGCACCTTGCATTTTTAGCTTAACTATCCCTGTTTCTCTGAAAAGATATCATCATAGTGAGACCATGCAATTAAAATTCTTAAAATCAGCACTGCACATGAACATGAGAGAGATAGACTAACGGATCAAATCCTCGATATTCAATGTCACCACCATCATCTTGAACAGCTGGTCGAATGCGAGTCTCCAGCAACTCTTTTATCATTGCAACTATTTCTGAATCATCCTATGGCATAGAGGAAAAATATGTGAAAATACTTAGGGTGTGTTTGAGGAGGAGGGGATTGAGGAGATTAGGAAGATACGCAAAACGAGGTGAGCCATTAGCTCGTGATTAATTGATTATTAACTATTTTAAATTTCAAAAATGGATTAATGTGATTTTTTAAAAGAACTTTCCTATAGAAAATTTTTGTAAAAAACGCACCATTTAGTAGTTTGGGAAGCGTGCACGCGGAAAACGATGTGCTTTCTTCCTCAAACTTACTGGAACGAACGCTGCCTTAACATCTCAAGCAGACACTCTTACCAACATGACAACAGTTTTTTAATTGATAACAATATGTGATGTTACTTCTACCTTGCATAACTTCTTGGTTCAAGAGGAATTTACAGCATTAACATTTCAATAATTGGTAGAAGTACATATTCATCAACTTAGCAGCATTATTCAGGAGCACTTTAGAAGATATCTTAGCGAATATCTATATTGTATCATCACAACACCACCACATGTAAGCAGTAACTACTAGTTACACGTGCAATGAACACATTCAAATTTAAACAGATAAGCAATTTTCCCTAGAACCAAATCAAATGGTAATCAGGGCTCCATTTGAATCCTTTTTAGGCTACTTTTCGTTTACTGCTGAATATAACTTATCCATAGAGACACAGATTCGCAAATAATAAAAGATAGATCTGCCTGTCATAATTTTGGTACTAATCACTGACAATTAGAACTTACCTAATACCAGTATCCTAAATACAATGCATATGCTGCAATGGGTCTGACAGATGGCCACTTTGCGCAGTATCACTAGGAACAGCTAAAAGTTATACTAATGGAATGTAAGATCTACACTAAAGTTGTCTGGGATACCTCATGAATTGCGGTGTCCATAGAAGCTGCAGTACTTGAGTCCAGAAAGAGTGATTGCCCAGATGAGTAAAAGTCCATTATCACAGCAAAAACCTCAGGCTTAAGATAGTCCCAAGAAGTTTCCTCTGATTTTGTAACAGTTACAAAATCGGATCCAAAGAATACTCTGGTAACTCCTGCATGTAGTCACCAGTCAACATAATGTCAAAGTAAATAAAACAAATGAACACTCATGACAAATTTGAAGAAGTTGTTCTAGAAATATTTACTGCTACGAGAATATCTTCTGACTCTTAGCATGATTTTGCTGTTATGGCTTCAAAAAGGTACTTTATATAGTTAATGGAAAACATGGCAGGATAAAATTATGTGTTACAGGCCATCATGATACCACTAAGCCTTAAACACTTGTGGTGGTGTGTTATTTTGGATGATTAAACAACGAAATGTTGCACGTTCATAGCAAATGTGAAACATTATGGGAATTAACAACCAGCAGCTTCAGATATATCATTTCATCCAGAATTAAAGATATTAAGATTATTGCTTTTGGTTTGAGTTTCTTTTGCCTTCAGACAATTCCACCAATGTCATCTTCTCACAGTATGGTTTGCCACATCTTTATCATTTACACAGCTCAATGCTAGCATTAAACGACCAAGTTTGCTTGGCTCTGGGCTCTAAGCAACTACATTTTTAAGGAGTCTCTAAGCAACTACGTTGGTTACTTAAGCAAGCATTTTGGTAACCCATGTCAGTGCACATTGCTTTGTAAGGCACATTTCAGTTGCATCTCACAAAAGTTATCTACAACAGCTAACTTTGTTTTAATAACAAAATATCAACAAGAACTGAAAAAGGCAAATAGAACACAAGTTAAACAGAAGGAATACAATATAGTTAAATACCAACTCACAGAATAAAGTTACTTATAGTTTGTACCAAAAATGGAAGATGATATAGCTTATTTGTATAAAGAGTGTCCTAGGAAGACTCGATACATTGAAAGAGTTGGCCAGTAAGAGTGGTAACTAATCATATATATTAAGAGGACAACCAGAGGATTTTACAAGGAAACATATAACCGAGATATTCAAGGAAGCTGAGATGGTGAATTGATTAACACCAACAGGTAACTAGCGGAACAGGAAAGAAATACCGTCGATTGCAAACAGCGCCTTGGCCAAAGGAGATGTCATCGCGGTCCGAGCATTCGGGAAATCAGAGCTCCCAACCTCCATAACCGGCTTTCCAGGATAGAACATGAGCGACTGCGGGTTCGGGGTCGACTGCGTCTGGATGAACATGCCCCTCTTCTGCCCTGCCCATCACATCAATTCCAAACAAAACCACATGAGTTAAGCAAGCATTAGACAGAGAATTCAAAATAAAATCCCATTTCAGCCACCAAAACCATCACATCATTTCCTGTCATCTAAAAGAAGTACTAAAATCCTGCAGGACAGTAACTAGGCTAGATAACCTCAGGTCCTAAAAACATCAATCCTAATCCACCGCAAATATGATCAAGCAAGCTACGCAAACAAATCGTTACTTCGATCAAGAACACAAATCTTGCGCTAAACTAGTTGGGTAAAAAAGATCCGCATCTTTAATCATCCCACATCCCTAACGAAGAATTCCACGATAGAAAAAAAAATAAAGAAGGAAGAGGTAGACCCTGACCTCCGAAGCGGCTCCATGGGGAAAGAGCAGGGCTCCCGTGCCGCGCCGCCGTGCGCGCGAAGGGCGGCGACCTGAGGCGGTCGAGGGGGCCAGAAGCCGCCGCCGCCGCGGATGAGAGGAACCGCGGCGGGGGTCTCCGCATGAGCAGCTGCCTCCGCAGGAGCTGGGACGCGAGCGCCGCGACCCTCCGCCTCGCCATGGCCACCTCCTCCTCTCCTCGTCGTCGGCGTCGGCGGCGGCGAGAGGAAGGCTGGGTCTCCAATGGCGAGAGCGAGGGGCCGAGGAGGAGGTTGTAACTTGCAAGGCCGTGGTCGGCCCATGGATGCCAGTAGTAGGTTAATTGGGCTAAAAAGCCCACTATGACAGATTCTGTATTTTCTCTCTTTCTTTTTCTTTAGAGGGTACAACTATTTTCTCTCTTCTAACAAGACATCCACTATGATTGTGATTAATTAATTATTAATATTTTTTTAAAAAAATAAATTAATATAATTTCTAAAATAACTTCCTTATATATTTTTTTATATAAAAGGCATTGTTGAGTACTCGAAGAAAACGAGAGAGCAGTGGATGGGAGGAGTGAGAAACAAATACAGCTTAAGGATGAAAACGGTTAGAAAAGATGTATTTTTTTATTAGTTTTATGAGAATGGTATTGAGATGTTTTGATTTTTTTTATTTATGAAAAGTTTTGTTTAGTAGCAATATTATGCAGATAGAAATTAGAAAAAATAAATCTTATGGTCAGAAACAATTGAAAACTATATCTTTTTTTTACAGAAGCTGTATCGGTACTATCGGAAAATATCCGTACCGTTTTTATCCCTAGCTGTATTTTGGATTATAATCCGCTGCAGATTTTAATTTTAAAATTGGTCTACTAGTTTTCTGGAAACCCTATTGAAAAGACCCTGCTTAGCTTTATATCAGATTATAATTCCGCAGAAGATTTTAATTTTACTAGAATTTGATTTACTAGTTTTCTCAAAATACCTTTAGAAAACCACTTTGATTATACAGGTTCTGTATTTTTCTAGAAAAAGTTTTCTTTGCTACTGGGATTGCTTAGCTGTACATCGGATTATAATCCGCAGCGGATTTAGTTTCTTCTTTTTCTTTTTCCGTCTCGCTCTCTCTTTTCACGATTGCTAACTGGACATATAAAGTGGTAACATAAAATATTCTTAAAGAAATCAAACTTAGAACTTCAATATCATCGTTGGATTATCATCCAGCGTCATGCCGAGTATATATTAACAACTGAATTATATCACTTATTTACATATGGATTTTAAACCCTACAAAACGGCACGGAAACAAAATGATAATGGGATAGCGATGAAAACAAAATATAATAAACGAGTTTATTTAAGATTTTTTATAAACACTATACGAACACAGGTACATCTGAGATTGATGAAATCATCATGTGCGCAAAGCTATCGAAAGAATAATTAGCTCTAAATACTAGCACCCGTGTCTAGAACTTTAACCCAGGTGAATTGATTCCACCAAAAGAAACATATAAATATATCACTTCATTGTTTAAGTATTATTTTTGTGTTATGTTGGTACTTTTGCTGGACGTTGTAGATGTTGAACCTCTAGATCCACACTAAAAACGTTAGTGGTTGGCTCACCGAGGCAAATACCATGTTTTTCACGCTGTAGTGTGTACACAGAACTGCAAACGCTCATAGTTTGCTAGACGGTGCCTAGCAGCGATCATTTTTAATGCCCTTAACAATATTTAATCACACTTTGAAAACACATACACTCGCCGTTTTAGAAAAGCGTCCTAATTTTATTTATTTACTTATACAGAGGAAGTACTTCTATATGTTCATGTGAAGATATTAAAGCGGTATAGGTCTAAGTGTACTCTTCGGAAAATTATTAGCTCCTCCCACAAATTACTACAATACCCTAATTTCTTTTAGGTGTGATTAACAAGCTCTCTAGTTAATAATACTTATCGAATAAAGCTGAGGTTAAAATTTTAAAATATTTGACTATGAATAATTTCTAAAATATTTATCTTAAAAGGTATATAGGTTAGTCTTAAAAATATACTTAAAAATAATATTTTATTGATATTTTTATTTATATTATAATAAAAAATAAATGTTAAATTGTTTTTTAAGACCGCGTCCTTGTCAAGAATGATAAATGTTGTTAGCCCGGAGAGAGCACGGACAATTTTGCCTTCTAGAACTGATTGAGTTTCTTCATCATTTCATCACTCGGTTTGGTTTACATCGCTGAAAACAAATGCTTAATGTCTTATCTAAATATCTTTTCCCTTTTTTCATGTATCCTGGCTTAAAAGTTACCAAAAAAATGCCTAGCCTTGTTCGATTTGAAAGATTCGTATAGGAAATCTCAATTTATCTTGAATACACACTATTCATGTATTTGGTTCATAGGATTCAAATGAAAATTTTCTATTAAAATCATATACCAATCCTCCAAGACCTTTCTAAAACGTACCGATTCCATAGAAGTGAAAACATCCATTCTCTTTTTTTTAGCTCATGGAATGAAAAAAATTCATGTCCATCTTTTATTTTTGCACGTGTATTTATATGTTATTTTTTGTGTTTTTCCCATCATGTGATTTGGAATCCGGAACCGAAGAGGCTCAAAATGAGTATCATTTTCCTGGGTTCCATACATGTTTTGAATCTTTTTAATCCAAAATCTTTCCTGTAAAATAATGTTGGCATCTCAGATTCACCACTTTCTGTGCCATGTGCCCTAAACAGCTAAACCTAAAGTTTAGTACTTCTAAGTAAAATTAGTAAGAAAAGGAGCTGGTTTTTAATAAATTCAAAAATTGTAATTTTTTTCACACAATCAGAGAGGTTCTGGGAGACACGTGGAAATCACAGGCAAGCAATTGATGTGAGAATGGGTCAAAAAAGCAACGACCTTTCTCTCTCTGTTTAGCCTTTAGGTCGAGTAAACTCCAAACGTCTCTCTCACATGTCCATGCATTAAGCAGGTGCAATGCATCCAGTCCCCACTGTCACCTTCATCCGAGATAGCCTAATCCTCCACTAAAAAAATGATTCTCTGTCGCACCAATTAACAAATCTAATGATAACCATCCATGCATTGGTTATAGTCTAATACTCTCTCCGTCTATGGATTTTGAGTATTTGTTTATTCTGTTTGATTACTCGTCTTATTTAAAAAATTTGTGCAAATATAAAAAAATAAAAAGTTGCGCTTAAAGTACTTTGGATAATAAAGTAAGTCACAAAAAAGTAAATAATAATTTCAAATTTTTTTGAATAAGACGAGTGGTCAAACGGTGCAAGCAAAAACTTAAAATTCCTTATATTATGAGACGGAGGGAGTACAGTAACTATACTAGTGAGGATGATATGATAGCAAGAAAAAAAAAGAAAAAAATTGTCATATCTGAATTTTATGTCATCAGTAATTCAGAGCCAAATTGCATAATTTTATGCCATGTTCTTTTCTAATTCTTACTAGTTATGATTTTTTTTCCTTTCCAAGCTTAGACTTCTAAACGATTATTTCGTGCAGAAACTTCTTATATGAAGTTTTCCCAAAATATTTTTCTAAAATATTTTTCTTTACTTTATATAAGTTAATTTATTCATTTATACTCTTACTTTATCTATCACAAAATCAGATTATCTAATCAATTTCGACTATTTTAGACAGGACCATATACGTAGTATATTCTAACTAACAAAGTAGTAGTGCGCCCATACGCACATGCCTATTCCCATATGCAACTTGAAACAAATCGAATTTCGGGCCCTTTGAATCGTAGGAATAAAAAAACGTAGGATTTTGATAGGAATACAGATGTAAAACAGATAGGAATACAGATGTAAAACAGAGTAATATACATGAAAAATACAGAAATGACCGTTTAATTAGACCACATGAAAAACGTAGGAATCAGATGAGAGAGATAAACTATGATTTTTTACAAGTGGTTGGACCTCTTGCTAACTTTCCTCCAAAATCTCTATAGGATTAGCCATTCCATAGGAATTTTAAAGGATAGTATATGATTCAATCCTTTATTTTAAAGGTTTTCATAGGAATTTTTTCTATAGGATTGAAATTCTTTAAATTTCTTACACTTTTCCTACGAATGAAAGTGGCCCTTCTTTCTTGAAAAATCTTACAAGTGCTGACTCGTTTGATTCTTTTTCTAAGCTGAGAGAGAGAAAGGCATTAGTTTTTCTGTTCCTGATTAGCGGCGGAGTGTGCCGTCCTCGCTTTCACATCCAATCAATACCAAGAAAAAATAAGAGCTTTTTTTTTAACGCTAATAATCCGAAGCACTCCCTGAATCCAACCCATCCGCGGCTGCTGCTGCTGCAGCAGAGATGACAAATCAGATCGAGCCGGGAGCTCTGGTTGTTCGTCTCTCGGTTCAGGTCAACACCTCGGGAGTTCTTGCTTCGGTTTGAAGCGAGGAGCTCTGTTCTTTTCCCCGTTTCTTGGTACTGGTGATTCTTGGCTTCGCCGTGCTGGAATCGGTGCAGCTTTAGGGGGGGATTTGGGGGAGGTTTTGATGCGATTCAGAGAGTAAAGCTACATCATTTCTTGCATTTCGCGTGGTTCTTGGGGGTGGATTCTTTGCGTGGTTCTGTCGAGGTCGAGCTATTTCGACGCGTACTCCAGTCTGAACCTTCTCAGAGATCCAGGTTAGTGTTTCTTGGTAAAGCTTTGCTTACTGCACTTCGCTTGAGGGCTAATTTAGGAGCAGTTTTGATGATTCGATGTATTTTGTTCATATGTTCATGCTTGGGCAAGCTGCAGATTCATTGTTACTAGTCTTAGTCATACTTGTTACTAGACTGATTATAATTATTTACACGTACCATAATGGTTTAAGTGATGATTGTTGTGCATGCATTTTGTGTCTTTTAGAGATCTTGGTAGTAATATTTTACCTGGTTTAACTCAACTAGAGTTTGTCATGTAGAACTTTGCTTATGGATGCATTATGGTTTTTGCAGTTCATGTTCCCTCTAGTCTAACAAATTATTTCTGTACTTTGAGAATTGTTCTCTTTTCATAGTTTTATTTGAGTTGTTTTCATTTAAAAGTAGTTTAAGAATTTGATGGTATGCTCTCACAGGTTAGATTGTGGTGGCTGCTTGTTTCAAGAACTTCAACACCCTGATTAACTCTTTCTGCTGATAAGTAGATGGATGGATCATGTGATTGCATTGAGCCGCTCTGGCAGGCGGATGATCTCCTTGTAAAGTATCAGTACATATCTGACTTCTTTATTGCGCTCGCTTACTTCTCGATCCCTTTGGAGCTCATATATTTCGTTAAGAAGTCAGCATTCTTCCCTTACCGATGGGTGCTTATACAATTCGGCGCATTCATTGTTCTTTGTGGGGCAACCCACCTGATAAATTTGTGGACTTTTGCCATATATACCAAGACTATAGCTGTGGTACTGACAGTGGCGAAAGCAGCGACAGCGGTTGTTTCGTGCATCACAGCTTTGATGCTTGTGCATATAATTCCTGATTTGTTGAATGTGAAGTTGAGAGAGAGATTTCTGAAGGATAAGGCTGATGAGCTTGATAGAGAGATGGGGATTATAAGAACACAAGAGGAGACAGGAAGACATGTCCACATGCTGACCCATGAGATAAGAAGCACACTTGACAGGCACACCATTCTGCGAACTACGCTCGTCGAGCTGGGAAGGACTCTTGTTTTAGCGGAGTGTGCCCTGTGGATGCCAACACGCTCTGGATCGGCCCTTCAGCTCTCTCATACGATATATAACAGCGCAGCAATTGGATCAGTTGTTCCTATCAACCTTCCCATTGTCAGTAAGGTTTTTAATAGTAACCGTGTAGTAAAAATTCCGCATACCTCCCCGTTAGCTTCGATAACGGCTGACAAAAGCAGGTATGTGCCACCAGAGGTTGTGGCTATCCGTGTTCCACTGCTGCACCTTACGAATTTCCAAATAAATGATTGGCCTGAGCTATCTGCAAAAAGCTTTGCAGTAATGGTTTTGATGCTCCCTCCAGACAGTGCAAGAGAATGGCGGCCGCATGAACGGGAGCTTGTTGAAGTCGTTGCTGATCAGGTAGTTATCAGTTTCATTTATGTGCATTCCTCTATATATGTAATCAAAATCAAAGGTGTGATTTTCTGATACCCGATATCTTGAATCTGGTGATATCAGGTTTAGTCTGATATTGTTTGGTAGAGAACTAGAGAATCAATTAAATAGAGAAATTTAACCATTTATGTTGGTGTGACCTGTGAACTAAGTTTTCTTGAAAATTGTGAAAATCCTAAACCCATGGCCTCATTTTTCTCATTCAGGTAGCGGTCGCATTGTCTCATGCTGCCATTTTGGAAGAGTCCATGCGGGCCCGTGATCTACTAATGGAGCAAAACATTGCTCTTGATGCAGCACGTCGGGAGGCAGAAATGGCTATTTGTGCCCGTAATGATTTTCTTGCTGTAATGAACCATGAAATGCGGACTCCTATGCGAGCAATCGTTTCTTTGTCCTCTCTCCTTTTAGAAACAAATCTTAGTGCTGAACAACGCCTAATGGTTGAGACTATACTAAAGAGTAGCGATCTTCTGGCAACTCTTACGAATGATGTTTTGGACGTTTCAAAGCTTGAGAATGGGAGTCTTGAGCTGGAAATTGCACCTTTTAATTTGCATTCCACCTTTACAGATGTGAGTCCCCTCTCTGTGATTTAGGATTTGCTGTTATGTTGCCTGGAAAGTAAGAAATGGAGATCTTTGCTATTTTTCATTAAGATTAACTCGGTAGTTCATCTTGTATTCTTGTAGGTGGTTAATTTGATTAAGCCAGTAGCAGCGTGCAAGAGGCTCTCGGTTATGGTCACTTTGGCACCAGAGTTACCTCTACATGCTATTGGTGATCAAAAGCGATTGATGCAAATAATCCTAAATGTTGCCGGGAACTCCATTAAGTTCACAAAGGAGGGTCATGTTTCGATTACAGCTTCTATGGCCAGACCAGATGCTTTGAGAGGTCCACATGAACCTGACTACCATCCAGTTGTCTCTGATGGATTCTTTTACCTGGCTGTTCAGGTTTGCTCATGAACATTTTCTATGTTCGCTACTTCCTCTTATCTCCAGTCTATTAAGATTATAGTTATACATGGTTGAACTTTATCTGTTACTTGTTATTATGCTTCACAAGTTCACCTGTGTGTTGTAGCGCATCTAATGTCCAACAAACCACTGATTTAGTTCTCGCAATCTGTATAAGTTGCCTTGTTTTGTGTTAGAGGGATATTAAGATAGGATACCACGTACTAAACATTTAGTTGTTTTATGACTTGATCTTTTTTCTATTTCTGTAGGTAAAAGACACAGGCTGCGGAATCAGCCCTCAGGATATGCCCCACACATTCAGAAAGTTTGCACACCCTGAAAACGCAGGCAAATGGAACAGTGGCAGTGGATTGGGGCTGGCCCTTTCCAGAAGGTATCCCAAGAAAACATTGTTTTCACATATGCATCATTTTTCCCTGGATCATTTTACATATGCATCATTTATCCCTGTGCTAACATATGTTAACTATCTCTTGCCATATCAGATTTGTCAGTCTAATGGAAGGTAACATCTGGCTCGAGAGCGAAGGCGTCGGGAAGGGCTGTACCGCGATGTTCTTTGTGAAACTTGGCATGCCTGAGAAACCAAATGCAAACCTCCGAAGAATGGCGCCGCACCCTCTACAGCCAAACCAAGGAGCTGGAGGCCCTGATGCCCTCAGTATATCCATAATGGACAGCAACCCGAGGGTTCCTCGGGTTCGCTACCAATCAAGCGTATGAGAAGCACCGATGATGCCATCGCCATGCCAAGGCAGAGCATCCGACCCAGTTTTGCCATCACAGTTTACAGCTCCATTTGCAGCTCTCTTTTTGATGTATGGATGGTAGATGTTGTTCTTGTCCATCAGTGGAGGTACCTTGGGCATGCTGGTATAAGTTTCATTGGCATTCTTGAATCTTGATTTCAGTTGTGAGGGTGATTGGGTGGTCTTAAGTGGTGACAATTGTGAAAGCTGATGTAGTGATCTTTTGCAGCTCTCTTTTTGATGTATGGATGGTAGATGTTGTTCTTGTCCATCAGTAGAGGTACCTTTTGGGCATGATGGTATAAGTTTCATTGGCATTCTTGATTGCAGTTGTGAGGGCGATTGGGTGATCTTAAGTGGTGACAATTGGGAAAGCTGATGTAGTGATCTGTTGTCTGCACGAGTCTGAAGTTACTGGGAAGTGCCAATTTACTGCAAGTGACAGTGAACATGAAGGTCTATGGCCATCTTACATCTCTGATACCCTGAGCTATAGAAGAGCTTGGACGAACGTGTTTATTTTTCTTACTTTTTTTTCCCTAGATTAGGGCTACAACCTGGAAGGGATCGATCTACTAGCTGATTGCAGTATCATTTGTACTTTTTGTTTTTTTTTTCTGAAATAAGAGTATCAGTGGTAATTGTAAGCGTTACTGCAGTGCTTTATAAGCACAAGCAAATTATCATCAAATCAAATTATAGAAAAATCTAGTGAATTAAAAAGAGCTCAATAAGATGAACCTACAAGCGAAGTGTTTACTGCTCAATGTTGTTTCTTCAAACTGGTGATTTAGAAAAGAGTGGTTGAGTGGCTTCAGGCATTGACTTATGCAATAACATCACAGAAACCCACATAATCAAGCACATCAGCCATGAGCTGAACCATCATTTCACCATGACAGCAAGCCATGAGCCCATGACTTCACTATCACCAAGAGAGCAATGGAGGCGAAAATTTTCAAGCTCTAATAGAGAGGAAACAAAAAACATTGTCTTCTTGCCCACAAACGCATGTAGGTAGGTAGAAAGGATCCTTCAAAATATCTTTCAGAAATGACACAATTAAGTTTTGCTAGTCTCAGTAGAGAAGTGACTACTAATTACTGTCGATTGCTCAAACAGAACGGTCGCACAATGCCGATCGCAACACTTGCAAACAGGAGCTGACTTAGACCTTGAATCCACGGCTGTTCCTCCTGCCACGGGCCTTCTCGAACTTCCTTCCCTTGGAGCGCACATATGGCTTCGTGTGGCTGTGCGGCACACCAGGAGCCTTACCAAAGTGCCTGACGGCCTCACGGGCATTCTTGGGACCCCTCAAGAGGACCTGCAACAAATTGGAAGAATCATTGTCAAATCAATTCATTAACTGTTCAAATGGTAGCATGTTGACATCTTCAGCATCTTTTCCACAATTATATATCATGTGTACCATATTTACAGTATGCAGTGTTAATTCACCAGTCTGCTCAGGTATAAGGGAAAGTTCATATCCCAAACAACCCACAAAGGGAAGTCTCATAATGAGCTGAGTAAAAAGGTATCATCATTGCAGAAGAAAACATAACCCAAGATGGATTTAATTTACCGAGCCAACTAAAATAAATATTAATAGAATTGAATCAAAAGAAAACATTCAAAGAAATTTTCAAGTAAGCTCAGATACAAAGGAAAAGTTCATATCCAAGACAACCCACAAAGGGAAGTCTCATAATGAGCTGGGTAAAAGAGTATCATCATCGCCAAAAGAAAATGTAAATACAGTTCCACATGAACAAACAAAGAAAATTAATGTTCTTGAACTTTAAAAAAGATAGAAAATGGTTCCCTCAGTAAAACACTTTTACTCGTCAATGGACATCAGTATTAGCATGGTTAATTTAAACCATCACTGGGAACCCAACAGATAGCAAAATAACAAGGGAACATGTTCGAACATATTGACAATAACTTCTCCAAAAGGGAAAAAAAACATTTTTACATCAGATTTTTCATCAAAAACTAAGCATTGCCACATTTGATAAATCACATAAAAATCATGCCTATTCAAAGGAACCACTACCACTTCCACCCTCTTTCCAAACAGCTAAAATAGACCCAGACAACATATGATCCACAAGTATGTTGTATCAGTAGGCAATGTTTGTCTATCCAGAAACAACTGAAGTCTATTAACATCTACCGTGTCACTACTTGAATTGCAGTAAGGTTATAGAGCAATCGCAAACCCGAAACAGTCATAGAGGAATCACCCTAAAATAATGTAATATATGGAGTTATGAACAAAGCTAACACATATGAAAACAAGGAATGGCATGGAGAGCATACCGTGTTCTCCCCAAGCGGAGCACGGAGAGCAAGCTGGTCGAAGGTGAGGCACTCGCCGCCAGCATTGACAATCCTTGCCCTAGCCGTCTCCGTGAACCTCAGGGCAGTAACCTTCATTTTCGGAATCTCTTGGATCCTCTTGTCATCAGTGACTGTACCAACAATCACAGCAATGTTGTTCTCCTCCTGTTCACAAAGAAGATTACATGCTGAATATGCATAACTCAACAAAAAAAAACAAATGGGTATGCCATTTTCTTGGGAACCAATGTTACAAGCTCGAGCACCAGGCAGTAGAAATGGTTAGACACACACCTTGCCTTCCATGAACTTGGCGAGGCGGCGCAGGGAGAGCGGCGGGCGGTTGGTCTTGCTCATGAAGAGCCTCTTGAGGATCACGGCATTGAAGTTACTCTTGGTTCTCCTCACCAGGAAACGGTACAGCTACAACACTCAAGCAGGAAACACTAATCAGAACATGAACCGTACCACACAAATAAAAAAAATGACAATCCATTTTCCGCTCTAACCCATCAAACTCACCTAAAAATCTCATGATAACTAATAACTAACCCTACAAAACAACATCTAACCGTAAGAACCGAAAAACAAAAGCTGCAAGAACAACCGTGTTCTCCGCTACCATCACATGGTTGTATCGCTAAAATCGATGAGCCAATTCTCAATTAGATTTCTCCATAGATTGAGCTAAAACGAGCAACTAGCAACCAGATAACAAAAACCACAGGACATTTCTGCAACCGAGCACGGACAGATCTACCAAACCAAACACGAGCACCATATGGTGACAGCGCGGGCGCGGGCGCGGCATGGCGTACCTTGACGAGGAGCTTGAGGTAGACATCGTCCGACCTCGGCGCGGTGCGCTTCGTCTTCTTGTTCCTCCCGCCGGCAACGAGGTCGATACCCTGCGGAGCAACATACAAACAGCAGCGTCAGCGAGCGGGAAGACAAATCCTACGGAACGAACAGGGTCGGCGGGCGGCGGCGAGCTCACCATGGCTGCTGCTGCTGCGGCGGCGCTAGGGCTTCTGGGCTTCTTACCTCGTGTCGGCCTCCGGCTAAGGGGAAGGAGGGTGGCGGCGCGAGGAGGGATACCTATATAGAGGAGACGAGGCGAGGGGAGCGGCTAGGGTTTTGAGGTGGTGGGCCTCGTGGGCCGGAGTGGTGGGATTCTGCTTTTTCTTTGTGGGCTGGTTTGGGCCTTAGCTACGTGCAGCATGGGCTGAAGGGTCCTTTTTTCAAAAAAAAAAAAACAATACAGAATGAAGCATGAATTTGCGAGATTCCTAATTCGCGCATACGCGCCGGCGGTGCGCACTTCCGGCCCACGGCTCACGTGTATACGTGGTTGCGGGTCGACGAAAATTTTTTTTCGGGATTCTTTTTTCCACCACGCTAATCCATTAGTTTTAGAATCATTAGTTATAGATAATGACGATAATTAAGATAAGATTTGTTTTTTCCCGAAGATTTTTTTAAGTAATAAATTGAAAAGAAATTTATACGCTGAGTCAAATTCTGAAAGCTTTCAACCCATATTTTAAAACTTTTAACTTAAATTTAAAAATTTTCAATTCAAATTTGAAAACTTTCAACTTGAATCTTTTTAAGTCAAATTTTGAAAACTTTCAACTTTTCATCTCAAATTTTGAAAAATTTCAACTTTTCATCTCAAATTTGAAAAACTTTCAAGTCAAATTTAAAACTTTCAGCCCAGATTTGAAAACTTTCAACCCCGATTTAAAAACTTTCAACTCAGATTTGAAAACTTTCATGTCAAATTTAAAAACTTTCACCCAAAATTTGAAAACATTCAACTTAAATTTTAAAACTTTCAAGGCAAATTTGAAAACTTTCAAGTCAAAAATTTAAAATTTTCAAGTCGAAATTTTAAAACTTTCATGTCAAAATTAAAAACTTTCAATTCTACATTTATAAAGAGGTGTGCGAAAGATTAAAAAAATTAGAAAGAAATGGCGAAAAAATAAAAAAAAAAAGCACCTAGATCTGAGCGCAAAAACGTAAAAGAAAAGAAAAATAAAAATAAAAGCACCGAACCGAGAGGGGGCCCGCGCGTGCCAGCTAAATTGCTGGCGCGTACGTGCGCATTAGCCTTCCCCATGAATTTGTCATATGTTAGTGTATCAATTTGTGTTATCATTTGTAGACGTTGGATTGATACTCATTCTGGTGTGACTGGAGGGGGGTGCTATTACCAATTAGAGGGTAGTGATTTCAAATACATATGCGCGCAAAAATGTATGAAGCAATAAAATTAATTTATGAGTAAAATTTGTACTCGTAAAAGTAAAAATTTATGAGTAGCACTAAATTATAATTACTCATTAGTTATAAAAATGATTAGAAACAGTTTTTTTTAAAAAAATAATTTTTTAAGTTGGTTAGGGATTTTCTATTTACCAATCAACTAGTTAATTCTAAGAACACGTTAAAAGGGGGATTTGCAATTATAACACTGCAAACATTAACCTTTACTATAATGACACTGCCTATATTTCATACATACAGATGGACCCATTTGTCATCCACTCGGAGTGTCAAAACAACGAAGCCCACGTGTTTGCAGTCCCAATATTACAATTTTCTCCGTTAAAAGAGACTTAAAAGAATAACTAGTTAAAGGAATGAAAATCGTTTTTCGTAATGAAAAAGTAAAGGAATGAAAAACGTTAATATGCCAAGTAGAGAAAGAGAGGGAGGGAACCATCGAAAACAGTTCAATACCCGGACCAGCGAGAGATTTTCTGGTAAGGCCCTGTTCAGTTTAATCCCAAGAAAAAGGGATTAGAGAGAAATAATTTTAAACTATTTCGAAGCAAGCCTCTCCAATCCCCTAACACCCCCCCAAACCAAGGCCTAACGGTCCGTTTGGTTGGAGGGAGTTTTTAGGTGGGATTGGGAGTTCAGAGGGATGAGGCTGTTAAGTGTTTTGTTTAGTTATGAGACATGAGAATTTTGGTGAGATGAGAATAGGGAATTGCTCTTTTTCAATATCTGGGTAGGGGCAGGTAATTTGGAGGAAATTCCTTTTTTACTTTGTCTAAGCAAATCTCAGCCATACGTTTTTATTAATGATCTAATCTTCAACTAAACTCACTATCGATTTCCATCACCTCTACCAAACAAGATATTGGGATTAAAAATCAAATTCCTATCTTAATCTCATCATCAATTCTGTCGTGTAAACTTTCAATCCCATTCTCTCGAGTTACAAAACAAGCCGTAACGGTTTTTGATCCCCGTTCCGTTCCTCCGGTGAGCAGAGCAGTGCGCACGAGTTCCTCCTGCTGGAGCTGGACGAACGAGGCATGGCAGCCATGGATGGATTAATCCCCAACTCCAAACTAACCCCCACCATGTTTTCCGCCTGATCAAGATCAATCCCCTCCATGCAACAACCCATCACCATTGATGCTCACTATTTAGCGAGAGCCGAGAGAGAGAGGAGCAGCAGCAGCAGCCACGCCAAGATCCGGGTGCGGAGGGAGGGAGAGGATGGCGGAGAAGGGGAGGACGGAGATGGAGGTCCGGCCCGGCGGCGTCGCCCTCATCACCATCTCCAACCCTCCCGTCAATGCCCTCTCCATCCACGGTCATCTCTCTCTCTCTCTCTCTCTCTTTCCTCTTCTCCGCTGCAGTTTGTGGCTGGATGAATTTGGTTCTTCAGTGTTAGGGACTTGCTGCAATTATCGCTTCTACGTCTACGTTTTATACTGTTATAGCTAAAAAAATTTGTTTTCTTATCCTTTCTCGAAGAGTTGGCAGGAGCTCTGCCTTGACATCGATAAGTTTCTTTTTCAGAAAAAAAAAACAAAAAACAGAACAAGCCAATAGTGCTGTTATACATTCAGCAAGAACTAGCGGGAAATTTAACTATTTGCCACTTTTAGGTTTGGCAATTAACCAAATACCCTTCTTAGATTTGCACTTAAGAATTTGCCATTGGAGAGAGAAGCTTTTGTAATTTTTTTGCCACTTTCTGCACTGTTCAGTGCCACATATACATGCCAGCATGGACCAGGCACACGAAATGACTAATCTACCCTTGTTAGTAATGTCTGTAATATAAGCTGAGTCAGAAATAATATTTGGACAAATTGATTTCGCGAATCAGTTGCATCGGTATGGATGCTGTTCACTTTTATGAGGTACTATATTAAAGACCGAGTACCTCCACATCAGTTAACAAATCAATATTTGAAGTAATAGATCCACTGAGATGGTTATAACAAACTTTCAAAACGATACTTAGATTGAGTTCTTTTGTTCACTTTCACAACTCATCTCTCTCGTTTTTCACGTGTACGTTTTTCAAGCTGCTAAACGGTATTCCAATTTGGCTGGTATTGTTGGGATGGTGCCACTTGGAGTGAGCTCGATTAAGGTGTGCGATAGCATGGTTTGGAAATATTTCTCTCTTCACGTAAAACTGAGCAAAGAATTAGCGCATGACTAATTTAGTTTGAGTTTTAATAAATAAAGAATAGATTAATATATATTTTTAAAGTAACTTAATTTTATTTAAAAAGTTATTAAAGAAACGTGCGAAAAAAAATGAGGGAGTAGAACTCAGACCGGCAGAGGCCCTGGTTCCGGTTTTTTCCAGTCCAACCGCCGGTCTGGTCAATCCTAATAACTGTGAGTAGAAGTTAGAAAAAAGACATCCGAATGCAGCCTCAAAAGGTTAATGAACTGACTGTAACATGAATGGTGCCATTGATGTTGTTGCCTTATAAATTTAAAAGGGTAAAATGGGAAGATTGGGCAGGTTGCTGGTTTCTCTTGGTATCTTTCCAGTGAATGAATTATGACTAAGATTCAATGCGGACAGGCTTAGCAACTGAGAAACTTACCACTAGCTAGAAGGGGTAGGTTGGTCATTTTTCACGTTGGTCCATGTTGGCATGCACATGTGGCACTCCACAGGGCAAAAAGTGGCAAAAAGTTACAAAAGCTTCTCTCTCTAATGACAAATTCTTAAGTACAATCTTAAGAAGGGTATTTGGTTAATTGTCAAATGTAAAAGTGGCAAATAGTTAAATTCCCCAGAACTAGCACAACTATTATCTATATAGAGTAAATTTCACTTTGGACCACATTTATTAGCCAAAGTTTCATATATTAACTTCAGAGGCTTATCCTCAGCTGTGATTTCACTCTAAAAGAAACTATCATGAAATAAACTGCTTGATACGAAAAAGAAAAGCAACATCGGCATTGTAGTGCGTTCTAGATTTTTATCCAAGACTAGTACCATTTGATGATGCCATGTGAATCGCTAGAAATTAACATGTCAAAGTGTATGGCTATTGGATCTTGTCAAACACCTGCTGAAACATCCTTCCATTCCGTTCCCTTAAATATTCTAACAAGCGTATGTATGATGTGATACCATCAAAACTCTCGATGTGCTTTTGGGTGTCTTCTGAGGCAGTAGACTACCTGTTGTCCCATCATAGTGCACAAAGCTATGGGAACTAGTCCAATCTGCTACCTTGTTCCAAATTTAGCTAAAGATTTTCTTTGAAGAACTACAGTTTAAGTTAAATATTCAGTAAATCATCGGATGATCTGTGTCACCGTGTGTGGCGCAAGTTGCGGAAATGCCAATGGTAACCACCAGCACGCAACCACCGAGTATTTTTGCCTAATTTTTTGAACAAAACCAAGGTATCAAACATGCGCAAGACCTAGGATTTTCTACAGCATGTCTATATGCAAAGTTCTTTTTTCTAAGGTTTTTCCCGTGGTGCATTTTTCAGTCTTGTATAGCTTGAAGGACCACTATGAAGAAGCACTTAGGAGGAATGATGTTAAAGCTATTGTTGTCACAGGTAAAAGCCAGTTTAAGAAATGCTTACCTCTTGTTGTTAGCACATGACAGCAATGAAGACACTTTCCCAGTTTCCTCTCATCCAGATTTTTGCAGTTTCGTTTATTCACTGTGGAAATATTTTCTACAGGAAAAGGAGGAGTATTTTCCGGGGGACTAGACATTAATACATTTGGTGCTATTCAGAGAAACAAAGGTATGGTAGCCCTATTCAGTAACTTTTTTTCCTATGATTATTTCACTTACAACTCTAATAACTAACATTGTCATGTTTTGTTTCTAATAGCGGAGCAGCTAAAGGTTGATTATGTGTCCATAGATGTCATGACTAATACTCTTGAAGGTACTTGAGTAATTCACCTTCTCTTCTCGATTTTCTTGAAAAATACACAAGAGAGTTCCGTTTGACCTGATTAATAGAAATAAACAGCAGCTTCTCCATCGCATCACAAAACAAACTTTACATGAACAACCAAGGATAACTTGAGCAACCAAGGATAGTTTAGATGCTGGCATTCTGTCCTTGATCAACCTATCGATCTTCTCTGTATGCCTTCCAGAATTATATCCATGCTTTCAGACCTGTGTTGAGTATCAATCAAGTTGGCACTGTTGAAAGCCTTTTGTGTTCTGAATCAACCAGCATGTCAAGGTGACAATTAAGTTTAGTTTAACCCTTCCCTTCTTGCTTGCCTGATCTCTGCTGAACTTGCTGTCCACTAGTCTGTCAGTCAAACAGACCCCTTGCTGCAGATTGATTTCTGATTGCCCAATGCTGAGGATGGCCCGCGAACACACCTTGAGTAGATGATCCTTCCTCCTTGAAACCATAAGGGGAATTTTGCTGGGTGTGGCAAGCCTCTTTTGTGAAGATGATTAGCACTCCAACATTGTTTCAACTTAGACAACCAAATGATGCTGACCTGCGACCTCTGTTCTAACTGAACTTGCCGTAGGTCCCATAGATCCAAGTACCCCAATAAGACATGCACATATAAATTTACACTTATCAGCATTCTCTCTCAAATTCGGTGAGCCTACTCATTGCATAACATTCTCTTTCATGGTTGTTACTTTATCAGCTGCTGGAAAGCCATCAGTAGCTGCTATCAACGGTCCTGCTCTTGGTGGAGGGTTAGAAATTTCCATGGTATAGATAAGACCTGCTTACCTTATTTTTATCTTTAAATTTCTGAATTGAAGTATTAACTGGATTTATTCGTGTAGGTATGTCAAGCACGCATTTCGATTCCAACGGCTCAATTAGGTCTTCCAGAGCTTCAACTTGGAGTGATCCCTGCATTTGGAGGTAGTATTTTTTTTACTTATTTTTTAAAAATGGGTCAAGTCATGTGCATTTTTATGTCCTAGTGATCCAATTATTTTCCCTGATAACATTGATGCAGTGCAGCAGTGATCAAACTCCATTTCTTATTGATGTATGAAGCTGATTGATAACAAACTTCAAACTATGATATATATCATTAACCTATATTTTAATTTATTTTCCTTGGTCCTGCATTTTAGGAACACAACGACTTCCCCGCCTTGTTGGACTAACAAAAGCACTTGAAATGATGCTGGTAGATTTCACCCAAATCCTTTTCTTTTTGTTCTTATGGTGCCATTGCACATTTTCTACTTATTAACAGTGAAATAAAACCCATTTCATCAGATGTCCAAGCCTATTAAAGCCGAAGAGGCCCATCAGCTGGCCCTCATCGATGCCATAGTTTCACCTAATGATTTGCTGAATACTGCCTGCCGTTGGGCCTTGGATATATCCGAATCTAGAAGGCCATGGGTCCATACCCTCAGTAGAACTGACAAGCTAGAGTCTCCTGATGAGGCCAGGGAGATCCTCAAGTTTGCCAGAGCTCAGGTTCAGAAGCAGGCTGCCAATCTTCGGCACCCACTTGTCTGTATTGATGTTATCGAGGAAGGTATAGTTTCAGGACCCCAAGCTGGGCTACGGAAGGTACATGATGCTACATTTAGCTTAATGCCTGTTCTGTGGCTTGACAGAAATAATGAAAAGTTAACTGTGAAAATTTAAAATTCACTTGAGCTGTTTTTTTTTTTGACTGATTCACTTGAGCTGTTCACGGCATAAATGCAGGAAGCCATTGCTTTCCAGGACCTTGTTTTCTCAGATACATGTAAAAGCTTGGTTCATGTCTTTTTTTCACAGCGTGCGACATCAAAGGTAATGAACAAGGAAAGATCACTATCTTTTTTAAAAAAAAAAAAGAAAAGAAGATATTTTCTCAAAAAGTAAATATGAGACATCTGCTTACCTTGTAGCAATCTTTTATTATAGCTGGACAAAGCCAGTCTTATAACAATTGCAACAGGTTCCTGGGATCACAGACTTAGGTTTAATGCCTAGGAAGGTATCTAAAGTTGCCATTGTTGGGGGTGGGCTTATGGGTTCTGGGATTGCAACTGCACTGATGCTGAGTAATTATCCTGTTGTACTCAAAGAAGTAAACGACAAATTCTTGGACGCAGGAATTGACAGGATCAAAGGTACACCATATGCTACACTTGTTGACATCATAGCAATATTTTGTTGATACCAGACCAATCTGAAAAAGGAACAAAATATTTCACTATATTCTTTTTCTATCAGCAAATTTGCAGAGTCGTGTGAGGAATGGGAAAATGACCAAGGAGATATACGAAAAAACGCTCTCACTTCTTACAGGTGTCGTTGATTACGAGAGATTCAAGGACGTAGATTTAGTTATTGAGGAAAGTAACACATCTAACTGCTATCTAGCTATATATTTCATAGAGCAATATTGGATGGTATCCAATTATTCATATGTTTATTTCTCATCATGACAGGCAGTTGTAGAGAATGTGAAGGTGAAGCAGCAAGTGTTTGCTGACTTGGAGCGGTACTGTCCTTCCCATTGTGTACTTGCCACTAACACTTCTACCATTGATCTTGACCTGATTGGAGAGAAGACAAACTCCCAAGATCGCATTGCCGGTGCGCACTTTTTTAGGTAAGGTGGTGTTAATCAGATTCATGCATAACCCTTTTTTGTGAGCTAGTTAACACAATCCAATTTCTCCACAGTCCAGCTCATGTGATGCCACTTCTGGAAATAGTCCGCTCCAATCATACCTCACCACAAGTAGTTGTTGATTTGCTGGATGTGGGGAAGAAGATCAAGAAGACACCAGTAGTGGTTGGGAATTGTACCGGCTTTGCGGTTAACCGGATGTTCTCTCCCTATACTAGTATAGCGCTCTTGCTTGTTGATCGTGGAATGGATGTTTACAAGATTGATCAAGTTTGTACCGAATTTGGGATGCCAATGGGTCCATTCAGGTCAGCCTATAGACAATGGAGCTCTCCCTTCCTCCTTTGACTTCATATAGCCAGGACATATACAGTGGAAATGGCCTAAGTGTTGAAAAAATAAACAAATGTTGCTAAAGTTGGTTGGATTTGTTGGAAACGGTTTTGAGAAATGTTGCACAGCTGAATGCAATGGGTCAACCTTTTTGTTTCTTGTTGCGACAATTGTGGATATGTGCCTTGAAACATGTCCACACTGCTGGCAAAAAAATATAATTCATGTTTTCACATTGCAATGGAATGCTTAGTACTGAAAATTGCTAAAAAAATCCATGTGGGTTATACTTGGAATTGAATCAGACTTCAATTGCCCTTTTAATACTTTCTCCAGATTGCTAGACCTGGTTGGGTTTGGAGTAGCTCTTGCCTCTGGCATGCAGTACCTTGAGAACTCCCCCGGGAGTGTCGACAAGTCAATGCTAATTCCTCTCATGTTTGAAGACAAAAGGACAGGTAAAATAATTCAAATATTACCTACAGTATTTCTTTTCTTCCCTTGAGGTTTTCTTTGCTGATCTTTGAAGATTGCTAGTATTCCTGAAATCCCATTTACTGTCCACTTACCTTTTACGCAGGCGAAGCCTCTCAAAAGGGATTTTACAAGTATGAGGGTAATCGGAAGGCCATCCCTGATCCTGATATCTTCAAGTATGTTGAGAAGTCAAGGAGAATGGCTGGAACTGTGCCTGATCTTGAGGTTTGTTTTCACCTTCCAAAGTTCCAACACCCCTTTTTTCTCTGTTCATAAATATTCTTGTTTACCCTGTTCAGAGCTTAATGGTAATAAAAATATATAATTGGAATATATATTTCCGTAAAATAAGTATACTTGAGTGTGGTATAATGGGCATTGAAGGTCAAAGAATCAACTCACCTATAGTTGTACATTATCCACACTGAAACAGCAACGTTGTTCATAGATACATATCAGTGTGATCAAATAAAGCAAGCCAGTTCTCAACTTAACATTCAGTGTTTGGTGAAATCCTGACAACAAATTAATCGTCCACTTTAGTGCATACATTGAAACTTGCATGTATCTTGATATAGATCATAATTAGTCAAAAGTTCTTATGTTACCATAATCCTAGATCATATCCCTGTGATCTCTATTTAGTTCTATTTGTGCAAATGATGTACCAGCTACTGAAGCTTGACGACAAGGAAATAGTGGAGATGGTGTTCTTCCCTGTTATCAACGAGGCCTGCCAGGTCCTCAGTGAGGGCATTGCCAACAAAGCCTCGGACCTCGACATCGCCTCAATCTTCGGCATGGGATTTCCACCATACAGGTGCTTCCTCTCACTCTGAAAAATGCAAATACGCTTCAATTTATCTGACAACGACTGAACTCTGAACAGTATGTATAAATTGCCTGATAACAACAGCTGAACTCTGAACAATATTGTATGCTTCTGACAACAACAGCTGAACTTTGAGAATTCTGACAAACTGCTCAACTGATTGTGCAACCAGGGGTGGCATCGTGTACTGGGCCGATTCCATCGGCGCAAAGCGCATTCACGCAAGGCTATCAGAGTGGGAGATGAAGCATGGCCAGTTGTTCAGGCCTTGCTCATACCTGTCAGAAAGGGCAGCAGAAGGTGTTCCTCTGGTGAGAAAGAGTGACTTCTTTGCTTATCCCATTTTCGTTCTTCGGACATCAACAAATCAATTCTGCAAAGTTTCGCACATGTTTTCCGAATGCTTTTGTTCTGAAAAAGAATGAATTTGATTTGCAGAGCTCCACCGCGAAGAACAATGCCAAGGCCCGGATGTGAGTCTGATCTTACTGCCATCATGTGTTTTCCAGCCGAGATTGATGAAGAACAGTAATAATGCAGCCTCAGTCAGAGTTTCAGACTTCACTGGCTGCTGTGAAGTGTGGAGCAAAGAGAGTCAGGAGATTGAATAACAGTATACAGTGTGTATTATCTAAAAAATAACAGTATATAGTGTGTATAGTGAGAAACCGTACGAAATGTGTATGAAAAGAGAGACCAATTTACGCACAGAATTCATATATGAATGTTAAAAAAATTCAGATCACTGGACGTGATGACATACTACATGCAGCTCGGATTCTTATACGGCTGCTTAAAAGGCCTCATTGATTGGTGTATAGATCGAAATTTTCTACTTGTTCAAAGGTAATTGCATGATTGCATGAAGGTGTATGCCAATGGAGATATGGATTATTCCTGCCACGCTTTCAAAGATTTCTTTAAAAAAAAAGAACTTTCTTCATATTCATTGTTTAGATAACTTCTCATAAACTATTTGTTAGCTTATACATTTATATTAATTTAGATTAAATTTCACAAAACTACATATATTTTGATCAAACTATCACAAAATTTCAGATTTATTGTATCATAAAAATATAAGTTAGCGCCAAATTTATCATAAAACTATAAGGTTAATACCAATTTAATTACTAAACTATAATGTTTATAGCTCCAACATAACGGTAGTACTAAAAATTTAAACTCCAAAATCAAATATGTTGTTTTATGATAACTTCAATACTAAATCTATAATTTTGTGATACTTAGTCTTAAATATGTAGTTATGTGAAATTTACTATTTAGTTTATGTCAACGAGCATTTTTTTTATCAACTTGTTTGCTTGTCGGGTTATCAGCCGTAACGAAAATTTAAATTTTGACATTAGAGTTTGTTTTGAGGTTATCTCATTGTTGTTTATTTTTTTAGCATTGTTTTTAAAATTGCTAAGAGTATAAAATTGTTACAGCTATTTATTCTGAATTAGGTGACGTACCCGTCGACAGCGAGGCACCTGTGGTAACTTTGTCAATCTCAGGATATGCTGACCCAGTTTTCCGGAGGTGCTCATAGGGATAGGGATGTACGTGTTGTGTTCATAGGGGTGAGTATACGCACGTTGTGAGCGCTTGCGTTTGTACTATGTTTCAAAAAAAAAGTAGATATAAATGACGTTGGTATGCGGAGGTTCCATCACAGCCGTCCATCCTTCCATTTACGGTTGGTGTGTTCTCCTGCAACGAAATAATTTGCTTGGTCACCATTTTTTCGGGGCATTTATATTTGCCACTTTTAATTATACGTTTAGCTATTTTTCACCCATATGTCAATGATACGTAGGTTCCTATGTATATAGAGAACATATCCTATTCACGTAAGTCTTCTCATGTACACACTAATTAAAAAATTTCATCAGAAAAATCTAGAAAAATATTGATGTGTAAATTATTAACCTTAAATTTATTATATTTTAACGGTAATAAAAAAGATAAAAAATCTGACAATTTTGAGAGTATAAATCTCTCAGAATTTTATATTTTTCTTCTCCCTATATATAATGAAGATCATACTTTACACATAAATAAAATACTATTAAAAGTATGTATATGTACTTTGTTATGATATTTTTTTAGTTAGTATACACGGTATATACGTAAGAAGACTTGTGTGCATATGATATGTTTCAATATATCCATGATATGATCTACTCCCTCCAATTCAGGTTATAAGACGTGTTGACTTTAATTAAAGTCAAACTGCTTCAAGTTTGATCAAGTTTATAGAAAATAATAATAATATTTTCAACTCAACACAATTTATAATGAAAATAAATTCAATTATGATTTAATGAAACTAATTTGGTATTATAAATATTACTATATTTGTGCATAAACTTAGTCAAATTTGAAGTAGTTTGAAGTCAACAACGTCTTATAACCTGAAACGGAAGGAGTAGATGGTAAATTGTTAATTGTCACGTTTAAGAGTGGCAAATCTCTAAAACCGATTGCAGGGTCTAGGATCCGACTTCCCATTGAGCCACACGGCAACCTGTAAATTTGGTTAGACCCCCTCTGAACTCCAAATTTAGGGTATGTTCTTGGTCTCCCACACACAGCCATCTGATTTAAAATCAACGGTAGAGATGGTGCAAAGGTAAAAATTGCTATTCAGAGAGAGTTTGAGGCAAAAGATAGGATCTCTATGTTCTAGATAAATCTTCCTCCATCCTGAAACGGATATAGCAGATTGATGTGGGCTAGATATAGCAGAACTACAGATTGGTGTGATTTATTTCTAACTAGATCTTTCTCCCAAGATTCTCAACAAATATTGGTAACCCCAATGTTACATGGGCTGAAAGAAAAGATCCTAAAACAAAATGCAATTTTTAAGTAATTGTTAAAAATAATGGGTCTTCGAACACCTAGCTAAATGTTTGTGTTTTGCTATAGATAAAAAAATGTATTAATATGTTAACCATCTTTTTGCTATAGGGAATATTCATCTTAGGCCATGTTCATTTCTTATGCAATCTGAGGATAAAATTTTAGATACTCGTGGCACACTTTTCAAACAGCTAAACAGTGTGTTTCGTACGAAAACTTTCTATATGAAAGTTGTTCTAAAATATCAGATTAATTCATTTTTCAAATTTGTAATAATTAAAATTTAATTAATCACATGTTATTATCACCTCGTTTTGCGTGAAACACTTAATCTTCATCTTCAGGAGATTCAAACACTACCTAATCATTTTTTTATTTGACTATCAATTTAGATTTGATCTTTTAAATATTAAGAAATTTAAGGGGCAACTTACAAAATTTACAATGAGGGTAGGTATGATGACATATTCACTATATGACATATCTCCGTTTTTTTTTTTGAAGAAGTATAGATTAGACCAATTGACTAGCCGACTGGGTACATCGGTCGTACTCCCCAAAATGGCACCAACCTAACCTAATGCTATATTAGATTCTGCTATAACTTATAATCAACTAAGGAGTATATTACATCAATAAAAGAAATATCTACCGATAACATTAAGTTAATTGTGACTATCACTGATCGATTAATTAGATGTATTTATGACAACCGCATGCATACGTGTCGAGCAGCAAAGAAGTGTGTTCACTTTTATGCTACAGTAAAAAAATCAGAAAGTCACGAAGTCAAGCAATATATGTTGCCATATTTGATGTTTAACACAAGATTAAATACACAAACATAAAGATAAATGGGACTTAAACAATATGCATAGGAAAAAAAATATTAGCATTTCATGTTTCTTTTTTCTAAAATACAACGGAAATTCACTGACTCCATATGTTCATATTGTAATCTAAGTTTATCTTTCAGTTAAACTTCTCTAACACCGGTTGGCTTTATAAAAAAAAATACAAAATCTGTAACACCAAATTAGTTTAATTAGATTCATCATGAAATATGTCTTTATTGCATTTATTTATTATTTTATATATTGGTGCATTTTATTCAAACTCAGACAATTAACTTAGAAAAAAATATTTATAGACCTAGAATTTTTCCCAAATAGAATTCCAGATTTATTTTCCAAATAGAAATATCATAAATATCATTATATATATATATATATATATGTATATATATATATATATGTATATATATCTATATATCTAATAAATCAAACTAAGTCTAAATAACTCTAAAACATTTATACATCCTAACAAAGGTATAAATATTTACAGGGTACTTTTAAGCTATGTTCTTCCCCCCATTTTCCCAACCCACCTATCTTGTTTTCCACGTGTACGCTTTTCAAACTGCTAAACGGTGTGATTTATAAAAAAACTTTATATATAGAAGTTGTTTAAAAAAATCATATTAATCTATTTTTTAAAATAAAATTAGATAATACTTAATTAATCATGCAATAAAATAAACTTCGTTTTGCGTGGCAGGAGGAGGGGTTCCCAAGCCCCTCCTCTGAACACAGCCTTAGTAGGTGCGCCAGGCGCACCCATTTTCTAGTAGTTTTTGGAAGAAGGGTTTCATTGCAATTTTGCGATCCCCACCTCTCTCTCTCTCGTCTCTCGCTCTCATGGCCGAGCCGCCGTCGCAGTCGCCGGCGCAGACGCCGCCGCAGGCGGCGCAGCAGCAGCAGCAGGGGCCCGGGGAGAGCGCGCGCGACGACATGATGGCCTGCGTGGCGGCGCTGGAGGCGGCGCTGCTGCCCTGCCTCCCCGCGCGCGAGCTCCAGGCCGTCGACCGCTCCCTCCAATCCTCCCACCAGAGTACGTCGGACTCACTGAGACTGACCCCGCCGCTCCCCCTCTCTCCTCCCTCTGCAGCCTCCCTTCCCCGTCGTTCTTGCGCTTCCCCCGGCCAAGATTTGGCGCGGCTGGTTTGGTTCGACTCGCCCGCCCGCCAGGTGTTCGCTGTTTTGCCTACGAGGTGGGGATTAGGAAGCCCCTCGTGCTCTAGCAAAATGTGGCGAAGTTATTTTTTCTTTTTACTTGCGCTGTTGGTACGCGGGCGTCTCGCGGGTGCTGAGATGAGATTGAGAGGGTGGCATTTGAGCGTTCTACATCTGTGTGCTCAACTGTCGATGTAGAAATTGGATTCTTTTGCTTTGTTGCTGGTTAGCAAAATAGGGATTCTAAGGTGTTGTGGTTGTTATAATGTGGAACAGTTGATGTTGAGAGGCACGCGAGGGATTTCATGGAGGCTGCGAAGAAGCTCCAGTCTTACTTCATCAGCCTGCAGCGCGAGGACCGACCGTCGACAGAAGAAATGCTTCGAAAGGTACATTGCATTGCTTTCGGAACAACTTTGCTTCGAAAGGTACTCCTTGACTTCGAAATGATTAGCAAATTAGAACTTTGTGATTAGCAAATTAGCCTGTAGGTAGAACTAGGACCTTGTTTGGGGGAGCTTAAGATTTTGAGAAGCAATTGGTTGGTAGTCAGTTTATGAGAATATGAAGAAGCTGGAAAGTTAGGTTTCTTGTTTCTAGTTTATTTTCTGTATTCTTTAACTACATCTTCTCAGAATCTAGATGAAAAGCTGAACTGTTTGAGTGAGCTTTTAATTTTAGGAAAAGCTGCAGCTGCCAAAAGCTCCCTCAAACATGCCCTAGGTTGGGTAAGCACAGAGTAACGATTTGACACCAGAGTACACAGACATGGGAGGCTGAGAGCTTGGGGATGGCGAGGGAAAAGGTCTAAAAAATATTCAATTTTCAAAGATAAGGGCTTGAGTTTGTCTCTTTTACAGTCTTGAATTGACTGGGCCAGCTCTAAATCAGTCCCGTATTGTTAGCACTAATTCTCTGAGATGTCTAATTGAAGTTTTTTTTCTGTGTTAGTACTCGTTGTGCTCAACATTTTAGAGTGCTTGAGATCCAATGGTTTTTAATATTTGGCCCATCAATAAGTTTAAAGCTATCTAGATTGGTTGTATAAAATCCATTTGACCCTCTCTTTGAAATCAATTATATTGATGTTATATTGCAACCGTTGTAAAAAAAAAATTGTGCATCGATTTTTCTCTATAAGCTTCATGGGAGAAATCAAGAGAAATCCTATATGGCGTGGTCCCCAAGCTGTAATAATCAAATAATAATGTGTCATCATGTTTTAACATGTCCAGTTTCGGTTTGCAGGATATTGCTATAATGGAGGAAGAGCTGAAGACCAAGTCCGAGCTCATCGACAAACATAAGAAGCTCATCGAAGGGTGGCAGAAAGAGCTGAAGGACCAGCTGGGAAAGCATGTTACTGAACTCGAAAGAGTGTGACACCACTGTCTTCCATGAAATGTCCCAGGCTCCTTCCGATGATCAACCTGAGTAGCCCAGTGCTGGGCTATGCCTTGGAGATTTTGAGTACGCCAGCCAGGAAAAAAAAAACACCACAACAATGTTTTAGGATCTGACCAGTTTGCCGAAGACGAACAAATTGCGCTGTATTAATGTTCGTTGCTATGTTCGGTTTATCATAATATTATTGTTCGTAGTTTCTCGTGTGCTCTCCATCTCATCGTGTTAGGCATGCCTAACATGTTAAACTTTTAGATTTTTCGGAGCAACATCTTTTTCCCGATTATAGGAGTGTATGATAACATGTGTGTTCAATGGAATTGTCTAATTGCCTCACTTGTCATTTTAGATGTTTCTTTCAACATATTAATGATTTAATGGTAATTGAATCCCACAGTTGCTGTCAGGTGACCATGGTGACACAACTACACAAGTATGACTATGAGATGGTAAATATTTTAACGAGGCTAACAGCAATAGCATAAATGTAAATCGTCTCAAGCTGCCATATTTTACACAAGGGAACACGAGTGGAACTAACTAGGAGAACTCACGACTGCAAAGATGGTTCAAATTTCATCTCATTCCTGAAACACACACGGGCAGCTGAGCAGTAGTACATTAACATGGTTGTCATGGTGTAGTCTACCTAACAATGAAAATCTATGGATTATGCGAAAACTTGGGACTACAACATTCATCGAGCAAGTCAATAGTACATTTACTTCTTCGCATACGAGATAAGCATCTGGTTATCTTTCGTAATTTTGAACCCCTGAAGATGGTTCATGGCAGCGGTAGCCTGCCCCTCGTCGCCGTACTCCACGAAAGCAATCCCAGGCTTTGCTTCAACCATTCTGACTTCCTTGAACCCTGGGTACTGACAGAAGAGCATCTGAAGCATCATAGGGGTCGTCTCATGTGGGAGGTTTTGGACGAAGAGGATGTTATTCGGTACAATTATCTCCGGCATCATGACCTTCTGTGCGCCAGCAAAAGGTAGCTGAGAGAGCTGCACAAAACAGTGAGCCAATGAATCGAAGGAATCCAAAAGTAGTGGGCCCAAGAAAAATATAAGGCAGAAATAGGGGCGTTTAAATGTGCAACATGCTTACTGTACAAACAGTGGTCTTTATGCTTGTGATTATTGTTTGCCGTGGTCATTTGTATTAGTTTTCTTTGTTAGCATTATATTCGATCTATAGTTTGGATGATTATCTTCCTTTAGTTGAACACGTTAAGAGACTTTCTTAAGGGTATAAACAAATGCATCCCTACAGAAGTGATTGTTGCCTCCACTTAGCACCGTGCTACCTCAAACTAGGTTCACAGCATGGGTTGTGATTTCTAATTGCTGGGTGAATCTCCTTAATGTATTGGATGGCTAATTACAGGGAGGACAGGACAATTGCCTATTTGGCTAATGCACATGCACATTCTATTCCCAAAATAGAATGATGAAACAACAGGCAGACTTTCTGTGTTGCAGAGAGAGGGAAATGTGTGCATCAGTACATGTGAGCACAAGGAACTAACATGAGTGGAGCTTGTGCCCATGCGGACATATGCAATGGAACAGTGAAAAGTGGTAGGTATGACAGCTGCTTCAAAAGAGTCCTCAATGAAAGTTTATTTTGCACATATCGAAGGCAAAAAAAAAAAAAGGAAGGTAGAGGCAGAAACACATTTTCTAATCAGTTTAACTGTACTTACCGGAGGAGCTCCATAAACACCGGGGTAAGCATTCACACCTAAGCCAACTTGACTCACATCATGGTGCTGCTCACGCTTCTGCTTCTTTTCAGCTGCATCATTCAAGGAAAATATAATGATGCCTGCTCTCAAAACACAGCGAAAAGGAATATGGGCAAAGTTGCTATAGCCCCATAACTGCAACCACTATAAAGAATCCTCCCAGAAAGAGAAAGGATCAGTTATACCAACAAAAGAAGAGGACTACCAGTAAACAAAGCAGATAGTTGATCTCAGGTTTTGAGGCTACCGCCTTATCAGTATGAATATATATTGGAAAAGGCATAGTAAAAGCAGGACCAGCGAAAGGCACAATCAGAAAGGAGATCGAACATAATTTTACATTGTATAGATAATATATGAAATTCTACAGCTAGGGGAGCATGCAAATGCATCTATATTGATGTAGGTTAAAAAAAAAAGCAACAGAGACAAGGTAAACAGTTTGAAACAGCATGACATTGTAATTAGTTTTAAAACCATTACCATATTATACAAACTACTAACTAATTGACTAGCTTTTGTACTGAATCAGGGGACCACAAAAGTAATTTACATCTCAGATCTTAGTTACTTACACGCCCGTATCAGTTGAAAAGAAAAATCATGCCACTGATACTAATGGTGTAATATCTCCTCAATCCTATTTATTTATACAGTGCTAACACATGATGAACTAATTAAACCTAATATCATTAAACAGAAGTGCCTGGTGAACATGAAGATAATTCTGAAGAGCTAAGACAATGATATAATCAGACATGCTTCCATGGACAAATGATACACGAGCAGAAGCTAATTCAAAAGTTAAACAACAAAGAGAAGGAATCTCAACTAGCATCTTACGTTTCTCATCGTTCCTCTTCCTTCTTTCTCGAGGTACAAAGGTGCCATCAGCTTTTGCTATAATATCCGATTTGGTCTTGGCATATTGGATTCTCTGGAGTGAAGCATAGAAGACTCCATGAAAAAAAATTATCGGAGAAAAAATACAGTAAAAGCATATGAAACAGCAGATGATAACATATTGAGTTGAACAGCAAACTCATGTAAACTTCGATCTAGTTTAGACTTCTTACATTTTAGAGAGAAAACTGGGTTTCTATTAATCTGTAACATCACTACTGCAGTCCTTTGGGAGTTCATATCAGTTGTTCAAGTGAGCAAGGTTTGCAGCCCTAAAATAAATTTAAAAGCCTGAAATACTAGTTTGTTGGACATGCCATAACAGTAGCATGCTATAAAACTACAGTGAACTCACCATAGGTTTATTATGGAAGGGGAAGTCTTGCATGCTCTTCAAAGCCTCAGTTGCTGAAGCAACATCTTCAAACACAACCCAGGCTTGGCCTTTATGCTTCAAAGTCTTGAAAGCGAGAACATCAAGAATCTTCCCAAACTGGGAGAAAACAGCGCGGAGCGATTTCTTAAGTTCTGCAAGGATATCAGCGAGTTATAGCTTCACCTTCCAGATAAAAAAGAACTTGCATCATAAGAAAAGAGACATCAGCACGAGGTATAAGAGAAGCATCATGAAGCTTCCTATTCCAATTATACAAGCCAACCAGGTACAATTCACGCTGACCCATCCAGCCATGGGATGCACCAAAATCCGCTACGCCAAGGTATTCGGAAAAAAAAAAGCCGAAACAAGGACTACCTAAACCTGTAGGGTTTCACTTGAGCACATGCTCTCCTAAGGCAAACAATGCATTCCTCTGGACACATCACCGTTCATACCGTATCCATTGCCACACCCGGCGATTTACATGTGACACAAGCGCAAGATTTACGGCCGCATCGATGAAGAACACATAGATTCCCACCGCGGCGAAACGCAAATAGATTCACGGCAAGCAGCAGTACGAATTTACGGGAAGCAGCGCGCGAATCCACGGTGAAGCGGCGGATGAATTTACTCCTACTAGGGCTAGGGTTTAGCGAGGTTAATGTGGGGTAGGCAGCTGTACGTACCCTCGAGCTTGATCTTCTCGTTGAGGTTGTTGATGTAGATGGTGACGTTCGGAGGGGCGCCGTTCTCCTCCGGGGCGCCACCGCCGACCGCCGCCGCCACCTCGCCGCTCATCTCCTCACGCCGCGCAGCTCGAGCTCTAGAGCTTTCTCTTCCTTCTCTCTCTCTCTCTCCTCTCTCCACTTCTCCTTTTGTGTTGGGCCTGAAAAGGCCGTGTTGGGCCGGGGCAACTAGATGGGTCCAATTTGGATTTTGAAATTCGCTATCACTTGTATTTGATATCGAATTTGAATTTTTCTTCCCTGAAACCATCTGATCTGATACCTCCTTTGTAACAAAGGAATTCCTCGCGAGATTTTTTTTTTGAGAGAAAGGACAAAATCGTGTGAAAATCTGTGAATTTCCTGCGTTCAAAGGAGCTTTAAAATTCTAAACGAGTTTTCTATTCTTTTTGTGGAAGGGACGAACGAACTAATGCAATGTTGTTACCACTGGCATATTCTCCCTTCATTTTAAACATACAGTTTCCGCAAAAAGACACGAGTTCACATGACAAAACTAGAATTCGGTTTTAGTGCATTTTGCATATCACATTCACATAACTTTCCAAATCATACCTATCTCAAAACTCTCAAAAAGGGAATATATGGGGTGAATATTAAATATTTTCTAGTCCTTGACATACACAAACTTTTTCTTTCTCAACGCAAATAATCAGTAAAGAATACAGCAGCAATATCTCTATGTTGATAAAAAAAAAAGAAGAGAGGATTTGTCTCCCAAACATCGGAAACCAACCCATCCATATCTGCAAACACAGTAGTTACACGTCTCATCATACAATGGAAAAACTGGCAAAAGAGGCCAAGCCATGCATCTGCCAAAAAAACAACACAAGCCCAAGCAGCCCCACTGTGGAAGGACTATTTTAGCAAACTGCTGACCAAACCTGACAAAACGTCCCAAAGGAAACCACCAACCAGGCGCCTCTCTAAGCAACTGCGCTATATCTTCGCTTAGCTCCTTGCTTAGATCCAACGTTACAGGAGCCCGACAGGGGAAGAGCTTCGCATGAAACGGCGGTCAAAGCTCCAATCGGTGCTCTGACAAGGCAAAAGGCCAAAGTCGCCGAGAGATGACCGGGGGCTTTATCTGGAAGATTTCTTACGGCTGAGTATCTCCTGCTCTTTGAGGCGATGCTGAAACCGCGCCAGGCGTGCTTGGAGGCTGACCAAGCCAGCAGCCTTGCGTGACAGAAGAAAACTCAGTTGTGTTACATAGTTGTCAATAAGGCTCCCTGGCTGGTCAACTTCTGCCAAAAGGTTCATCTCCTGAAATTGAAAAGTAAAGATGCACTTGGTTCAGATGCATGATATAATCAAGGGATGCCATATTTCATAAGCCGAAACACGTACACAACAAAGATAGAAATCGTGTGCAATGCACTTGAATCACCTACTTAGATTCAAGTTGTGCACAAGACTGAACTAGTTCTACATTCAACTTCAGATCAAACCAAAGAATTCAACACTACTAACTTCACAAGTTGTAACTTATAAGCAGGTTAATATTACATGATATGCAACTCAGATTCGAAAGCAGTTATAGCCTGCCTACAGCGCTTAAATAAATATTTTAGGCCTAATGAATTGAGATGTAACCAACATGGCTGCTTAGATTCTTTGAGCTCGGCTTAGTAGGTTTTTACTGGCCATCACATGTTATAACAGGGGAGGGGACTTCTCAATGTCTGGAAAGATTCTAGTTAAGAACATTGGAGCTACAAGTGCAATATATATGATGATGCCGTTCACCCTGAGGAAGCACAGTACATCAATAACTTACTTCTCGTACAATCTCCATAGTGTTCTCGATTTCCTTCCTGTGTGCTGCTATGAGAGCCTCCTCTTCCTAACATATAAAAGAAAATTTGATGTATAACTCCATTCAGGATTATAACATAACAGTACTTGCAGATTATTCCTTTACCTCAAGAATAGCATCTATTTCCACATCATCACAAGAACTTTCCTTTTCAGATTGCCTTGATGAATTCTGAGAAGCTGAAGCAGATGTCGGCCGTTGTTGCTGTTGCAACTGCTTTGCCTGCTGCACCTTATACCCAGGCCTACTTGTCTCAGGTCCACTATCCTTCTTCGCATAGTTGCTCTGCCTTTCAGGTTTGTCATCCCTATAGGCCTTTCTCCGAGGAGGAGAAACTTTTGTAACCTTTTCCTCTTCTTGTAAATTTGCTGAACTCTGAACAGACTGTGGTTTACTGTTGTAGCTAATTCGACTGGAATTCAGATCAACCCGTTCTCTGTCATTCAAGCCAGATGAACCATTTTCTTCTTTTCCTCTATTAGAATAACTTGGAATCATACTAACAGGATTCCTGTCAGGTTCCATAGAAGAGTTCGAGGTGAAATTTTCAGCAGCCTTCCTAGAAGTTTCAACAGGTCTCTTCTCTTGAATCTGGTTGGCAATTTCCTCAGTTTCGATGGGCATAGGATATGAAGGGGCAGATGAAGAATCCTTGCTGGAAGGTATAGTTGGCCCAGTGGGCTGCTCTTTTCTTGTATTGCTGCCCTTTGAGAGACTTTTAACCCTGTTAGTTGGTCAGTAATTTTGTAAGTTAATGGACATTAAGTAACTGAAACCTGTACATGAATTGGAGACTGTAAAGTACGCTTTGAATTATTACCTGTCAGCATATCTCAAGGTATTTAATGTGTGTTCACATGAACCTGCATTTGGAGAAATGCAAGAGATCATCACCGTCCTAGAGTTACCAACAAATGAATCACGAAGAACTTCTGTAAGCTTGCTTCCTCTGAAAGGAATGTGTATCTGATCGTTATCAAGGGCCCGAATGCATTCCTTCAGAGCGAGCAGGCTCTTGTTTATCTCAGCTCCTTCAATTCTGAGAAAACAAAAGTTGCAGGTCAATAGTTAGAAAATACAGGCAACAAGGAAAAGTAAGATAAAAAATTATCACCTCGTCTGCCTATCATTGTCTGTTGTATCGGCTCCACGCTCGCTTCCAGCAAGATCAATAAATGAAATTTTTCCCACAGCCTTTGTGTTTTTAGATTCATTAGCATCTCGATCTCTTTGTCGCCTGGTATCAGTTACTATGATATGTTTCTTGATAGCCAGCTGCAGAATAGCATGTGACCTTGATGATTCTTCATTGGCCCCTGTTGACCCTGTACTCCGGGCTGCATTTCCTCTCTCAATATATTCCTTGACAATCTGAACATCAGAAACCTCAAATTCTTGCAGACCAACAATGCAAACTTGTTTCTTGCCATCTTCCCTCATCAGGAGCTGTCTGTAAAACAAGAGTTGACAAAATTCAGTTGAGTATATAATTTGAAAATTCCAAGTCAAAAGACACTTCAAAACAAAATGCAATTCAGAAGTACAATTCTCAAATTAAAAGGTATTATCAGTGTAATGCATCAAAGGGAACTAAAGATTAAATGGTGTTTGGCTAACTCTTGGCTCATAGAATCCTATGCAACATAGCATCATGTAACATTTTAGCAGATCCCTACATGATGTTCAAAAAAATTATGACAAACAAAAGGGACTTGCACCCAGAAGAAAACACATATACTGTAATAAATGCAAGATGAGCACACAGACAAGTGCAGGTACGTATATGCAAGATGCATCAAGTTTAAAAATCAGAAGGAAACAGATATACCAATTGAAGGCATGGACAGAAAAGAAATGCAATGACCAACCTTCTATCAGAGAGAAGATCAAAGAGCTTCCCACCATATATCTCAAAGTAGCTAAGCCACAGCTTAAAATTTTGATTACGGTAGACAGGCTGATGCAAAAGGCGAACCATGTCTTGTGCAGCTCTCAGAGGCAAAGGTTGCATCGTATATGTCTTGCCACTACCTGCTCATGAATGAAAAAAGTACAACAAAACTAGTAAAAGATCTAAAAAGGTAAACTTTGAGAAAGAATAAAAGAATTAGATTTTCTTTTCCAAATTTACCACAAGAGCTATAATCTATAAGTCAACGAAGGGAAATTAGTAGACAGTAAAAGCAGTTTCCCAGTGTTTTCTGCAGCCTAAACTTTAAGAGCTCAAACAACACTTATTTTGCGCGAAAGATCAACTTCAGCACAATCATATTGAGGCATTAGGCTAATCATTTGCCAAAAATTGTCCAAAAGAACCATACTATTATCATTTATCAGGCAATACTTTACACACTAAGGAAGTGAGCCCAGATTACAAAAAAACATTATATGTTTGTGATTGAAAAACGCAACATATAAAACCCACTTTATATCAGCATTGCAGCCTAACCTGTTTGACCATAAGCAAAACATGTTGCTTTTGTTCTTTGGAATATTATTGGTATAATGGGCTCCACAGTCTCGCGGTATACCTGTCCAGAGAGACCCAAAAGTCAAATGCTGAAATAATCAAGAATAATCCCTTCGCTGTTATAGAGAAAATCCATGATACACCAACAAGGACAACAAAATGATTTTCCTTGTGATCCAAATACTATGTAGCTCAAACTAGTACTCCCAAATCTAGCACAAGTCCATTGCCATATCAAGGCTGGATAGATGGACAAAATGTGGAACACCTAAAAAAACTGCCACCCACAACTGATACCCCCCCCAAAAAGAGAGAGAGAGAGAGAGAACAAAGGAGAGCAGCTGCCAAGGTGGTGATACATTATACAACAGTAGTAGAGGTGGGGAAAGTACACAAATAAAAACGATGGTAAGGATATTTGTAAGCGGGCAATTTGAGCACATGGACCTGTTAGCGGATGAAAACCGCTTGGTGACAACTGGCAACAAAGCTGTACCATTTGCCTAGACACCAAACAGATACAATGCTGAGATACAATTTGAACTACAATGCTCACATGAAAATGATGTGTGTAGAGTTGTCTCAACAAGGTATTATAATTTCACTAGGTTACATCACAGAAGAAATGTCAATGTCCAAAACGTTGCTTGTGACGTAGTTTTGGTGTCCCATAACAATTTTTCAAAACAAATAAGTATGATTTGGTCAACATGAGAAAATAGTAATACCTCATCATTCGAAACTTGCTCATCCAGGACAGCGTCAAAACAAAATTCATGCTTTTCCACATAAGCTGTCAAGTCCACCTTTCAATGGATACAAGATG